CATCGACGATGCTTCGCAGCAAGACGAGCTCACAAACAGCATCCGGACACTGCTTGAGCTTTCCAAGAAGCTGAAGCAGAAGAGGTTGGACGCCGGTGCCCTCAGTCTCTCCTCCCCCGAGATCAAGGTCCACATGGAGTCCGAGACTTCCGATCCCATCGACGTCAAGACCAAGGAGCACCTCCCTACCATGTCTCTCGTCGAAGAGTTCATGCTTCTCGCGAACACCAGCGTGGCCGCCAAGATCTACGAAGCCTTCCCGCAAACCGCCATCCTGCGTCGTCACGCGGCCCCACCCAAGACTAACTTCGACGAGCTCGCCAACCAGCTGCGCGTCAAGAAGGGTCTCGACCTTTCCGTCGAGTCCTCGCGCGCCCTCGCCGATAGCCTCGACCTGTGCGTCGACCCCAAGGAACCCTTCTTCAACACGCTCATCCGCATCATGGCCACGCGCTGCATGATGTCGGCCGAGTACTTTTGCTCGGGCACCCAATCCTACCCGGAGTTCCGCCACTACGGCTTGGCCTCCGAGATCTACACGCACTTCACGTCGCCCATCCGCCGCTACGCCGATTTAGTTGCCCATCGGCAGCTCGCCGCCGCGATTGAGTACGAGGCCGTCCACCCGGCCGTCCGCTCCCGTGGCCGCCTTGAGGCCGTGTGCAAGAACATCAACGTGCGCCACCGCAATGCTCAGCTGGCCGGCCGTGCCAGCATTGCTTATTATGTCGGCCAGGCCCTGCGCGGCAAGGCTACGGAGGAGGACGGCTTCGTCATGAAGATCTTTAGCAATGGCTTTGTTGTGCTCGTGCCGAAGTTCGGTATCGAGAGCTTGATCCGTCTGCGTGACCTGGCGGAGCCGGAGCCGGCGGCGACGTATGATGCCGAGACGTACACGCTGACCACGTCGGGAAGCAGGGAGGTTAAGGTGGAGTTGTTCCAGAAGGTCAGGGTGAAGGTGACGGATCAGAAGGATGAGACGACGGGGAAGAGGGGGGTCAAGATGGAGCTTGTTAGTACTTATTAGATTTGGAGATGGTTGCTTCAGTATTTGAGAAGGGGTACAGGTTAGGAATACCCATGATGGACTTTGGTAGGGCAATACATTGTTTTTGACTTTCGGCTATCCAAACGTTCATGAAGTCATTTTCGAAATGTCGTTACTTTCGGACTCGTTAGTATGCCATTGAAAACCAGTTCGGTATGATGAACGATGCAGGAATTGTCAAAAAGAATTTAAAGCTTCACTTCCAAAAGCCTTTGTCATAGAGGTGTTTATGATCAGGCTATATTTGACCTATTTTCTGCCAGCCAGCCTGTCAGACATCCCTTTTTGCTCTTTCCCACCTTGACGCCAAAACGCCTCTTCACAAAGATGTGTCCAGCTCCGGGGTTCGTTGTATTGTGTTTCTGACATGCAAAACAACAAAATACTCATTACGACATTGACCACCGACGCAACCGAAAAAAAAAAAAAAAAAAGAAAGTGAAATGCTCAACAACAACTGTCAACAGACACAAAAAAAAGGGGAATGAATCGCTTTACTGCATCTCAACATCCGGAGTCGCCGTCTCCTCCTCATCTCCCCAAAGACCATCCAGCTTGAACTCCTTGGCCCACTCGGTCACGATCACCTTCTGATCCGCTAGGGGCTCATCAGCGGTAGCAGACTTGCCGCCAGCAGGAGCAGGAGCAGTAGCGGTACCAGCCACAGCCAAGACGGGAGCATCGATCCAGCCCTGGATACGACCGTCGCGCCAGTCGGTCACGACAGTCATGGCAGCGGCTTGAATATTGGGGATACCGCCCCTGCCCAGCCTGCCGCGCTTGCGGGCAACCTGGACGAGGAAGTCCATGGTGGGGTCGCCGTTGTTGGGGTCGCGCAGCAAGGGGGGAAGGTCGTACACCTTCATCATCTTGTCCATGAGCTCGGGGGTGGCCGACAGGCGCTTGAGCAGCAGCGTCACGGCGGGAACCGGGTCCTCGATTTGCTTGGGTGGGATGGCGTTGAGGAGCACCAGGTGGGCGTGCGCCTCGGTCTGGTTCTTGGGGGTGAAGGTCGAGTTGCCGGCAGTGGAAGGGAACACGATACCGGGCGAGTCGAGCAGCGTCAGCTTGCTGTCGATCTTGACCTGGCGGATCGAGGTGGTGACGCCGGCCTCGGCGCCGGCCGGGCAGGCGTTGTGCTGGCCGCGGCTGTTGCTGAGGCGGGACAGGAGGGCGTTGATGACGGACGACTTGCCGACGTTGGGGTAGCCGATTACGCCGACCTGGATGGAGCGCTTGAGGTTGCGCGAGACGGCGTACGACTTGAGCGCACGGAAGAGAGCCGCGCTGGTGCTCTGGACGGTAATGTCGCGGTGCTGGAAGGTGTGGGCGTTGGGAGCAGGGTTGGAGGCGCGCAGCGGCAGCGTGGGGAAGTAGCGGCGCAGGTGGGTGAGCCAGCCGCGGAGGACCGGGGGAGGGATCAGATCGACCTTGTTGAGGATGAGGATGAGACGCTTGCCACCGTGGGCGGCAGCCATGACGGCGCGCTCGACGTCCCTCGAGCGGGTGCCTTCGGGATCACGGGCGTCGAGGACGTAAAGAATGACATCAGCCTGCTCGACAACCTGCTTGAAGACCTTGTCGAAGGCCTTGCGCGAGGAGGCGCCGCCGGGAACCTCAATAACGCCGGACTGTGTGGGTTCGCCGTCGGTCTCGTCGTCGGACTCGTCGTCATCGTCCATCTCGTCGCCGCTCTGGAGCTCGCGGTCGTATTGCTCGGCAGCTTTCCTGGCGCTGGCCACCAAGGCAGCGAGGGGGTTCGACTCATCGTCAACGTCGCTACCATCCTCCTCCATAGCATCGTCGTCGTCCATCAGATCGTCATCGAACGCCTCGACATCGCCCTCGGCGCCCGTCTTGGTGTCCTGGCCGGTCTTGGCCGCCTTGGCCATCTCACGACGCTTCTGCTCCTGTTCCTTTCTCCGAATGCGGTCCTCCTCGATCTGGTTCAACAGCTTTTCCTTGTAGGGGAAAAGGTTCGGGATACCCGGGTCCTTCTTGAGCTTTGAGCGCCATTCTGGGTTCTTCTTGGCGAGCTTTCTGTCCTTGCGTTGCTTCGCGGCCGAGGCCTTCTGGATCTTGTGCCTGAGGCGTACGGGTGTACGCTTCGATTTCGGCTCTATTGTAAAGTAACGTCAGTCAATGTGTTGATTGGAGGAATATGTCGTTCTCAGCGAAAGATTGACTGACTTTTGGGCTTTGTTATCGATCCGGCCATTTTGAAGATATGCTGCTCCTAATGTCAAAAAAGGAGGTACAGGAGGAGAATTGAGGATGGGACAGCAAGGTAAAGCAGCAAATCCGGTTGCTATGGACGGCTGTACTGATTGATGGTCGTCAAAAAATTAGAGTGGAGGGACGGTTTGTGCCACTGCTGACCGCCTAGATAAGCTCTGATAAAGCAGGGATCCGTCGTGTTGAACTCCACCAAGATTCCAGAAGTCCCCGCTTCGTGTGTGGAGATACGCGTGCCTGTAAGTTACAGTCGTATTGTATGTTTGAATGGTGTTAAACCAAACGTGGAATGTAAATTACAATGATACACTTATGGTGTGGTTGCGCTTGATTTCTATATCAAGGATTTATTGCTACTCTTTAGGCAAGTAACTTGCATTGCCTTTCCAGAAAGAGGACTTTAGGTCGGTCCGTCTCAACAATCAAACACTTGTCTGCCATGACGATGCTCAAATCCATCGGACCGTCCGTCAAGGTGCAGTTCTGAATGCCATCAGTTCTGTCGTCAAGCACTTGTTCATACCACGCACACATGGACGTTGAAGGTTTTTTTTTTTTTTTTTTTTTTTTTTTTTTTTTTTTTTTTTTTTTTTTTTTTTTTTTTTTTTTTTGGAGTTTGGAGTTTGGATCATTATGGATTCGGCAGAGCACCATGCCCGCTCGTGTGATTGACTGTCGCTTAAGCTGACAACGGCATTGCACTGTGCAATAATTATCAGCAGAGCAGACACTCCTGACATTGGGTCATCTTGGCCTACGCAGACAAAGTCCTGAAGCAAAATAGCATGTTAGCATCGAATACGAACCAAGAAAGGGGGTTATGGTGGGGAGGTAACATACCACCCAGACACCAAGCCTATCACGCTTCACATGAGGGTGTATCTTCAGAAACTCTTCAGTAGATATCCCCAATCATTTGTCGGAATTGGGTATGGTTGCGATCATCCGGTGTCTTTGCGTCCGGCTCCTCCTGAATCCATCGATACGAGAAAAATATCAGATAGTCTGCCGAGCTCTTGGACTCGCTGGTACATCCAGGAGTCTTCAAGACCTTGAACTCCTGAGCCAAACCGTCACTCGACCGTGAAAGTTTGCTTTAAGACCTCAAACATATCTCTCTTATCAGCGTCTTCGGCTAAAGACTCTGCGTAAACACGTCGGAATTCTGATATGGACTTGTCCGGATCGCTACCTCCAGCAAGCAGGACAGGCCGCAGCCGATCTTGAAGCAGCTCTCAATATCCTTTGCGGAGCTTTGACTCCTTGTGCAGCAGACTCAATATGTTAAGAGTCATCCAAGCCTCCGGTTTGACGGCGAAGGCTTTCAAAGACGATGTTTTGCGCGTTAGCATCTCCCGTGAAAGTTGCGTAATCAAGCGCGTTATAGCCGTGGCCATCAGTAACGCTCATGTCTGCACCGGCATCGATGAGCTCTCGCAGGTACTGGCGATGTTCGTCGGAGGGCTCCTTGCATAAAGCAAGGGAAGGCGTGCATTCATCGTGAGAATTGACCTGTTGCATGGCCACATCCTGCTGTCCGTCGAGCAGGAGCGCCCGTCCGTAAAAGAAACGACCCTTAGCCACCACATTCACGTCCTCAAATGTTCGAACCTGTTTTAGGGCTTCGTACGCGGGTTGATCCGCCTGCTTCGTGTTTTCTCGTGCTGCATAGTATAGAGAAAAACGGGAGGGGCCGATTGTTTCCCAAGTTATCGCAACCTTCAATCATTGTTCTCTTGTAACTGCATCCATGTCTTGCGAGTCAATTGTATCCTTGATTTGATGGGCCCTTTCAACGCGTTCAAGGAGCTAATTTGTCGCTAATTACAACGACGACTCATCCTGACGCTGCTGGGACAGTTTGTAGTTGACCATACCGAGGTTTCCGATTGACCGGCACGCGAACCGCTCTGCCTAAAACTCCTTTGCTGTTTCATACTGAACCCGAAGCACACGCTTTACATCATCCATCAGGTCCATGTGCCGATAGATAACACCAAGCTCGCCACTGGCTTCGAGGCGCAGCTTACTTGATGCTGACATGGCCATTGCTTGCTCGAGCAAGTCTTTTGCCTGCTCATACTTGCCAAGGCGTTTGTACGTACCACCGAGTTTGGTAAAAACCAACTGTTTGTAACGGTCACCGTTCAGGATGGCACCGGAAGCAGCCCCTGATTCGCAAAGAGCAAGCGCACTGTTGAAGTTACGCAGCGCCAATTCCAGATTTCCGCTATGCATACATTGCTGTCCTTCTCCCATCAGTCTCTCAAAGGAGCGGACTACCTCCACCATGTTGGCGAGCGACGAAGGTGGCTGGCTACCCACGTCCCGATATTGTTTGTAAGATTCTCCATCCGCAGGCCCAAGCACTGGCGCGTCTTGTATGAATTCTCGGCTGGAATCAAAGTAGAAGAGAGTCGCATGCAAGGTATCTGCTGGCACTTTGGTTCTGTGGAGTACACCGGCTCCAACAGTGTAGCTCATATCGCGAGTATGAAGCGCAGTCTCAACCTGCTTGATGTGAACAATCTTCCCGGTATTCTCGACGATGGAGTAAGACTGATGTGGCACATAGGCTGTCCCGTGGCTTTTCCCTGTGCCGCTCCAGGCGATCCTGTATTGGGCATATGGCGTGTCCAGCGCACCTTTGGCTTCCGAATCTGTAACCGCATATTGGTAATCGCGGCCTTCACCCGCAAGAATCCAGCTTTGAGCAAAAGGTTGGTGTGAATGGATAGCAAAGTCACGGTTTCCTCTGTGACCATCCGGCAGCCAAACGTGCAATCGCCAAAGCTCATCAATCCTATTGTCTTTGATGAGGCTGCAAAGAGGAACGCTGAGGAAGCCTTGTGCACTACGGGACGCGCCCGGTAGAAGTGACGCAAGGACTGGGTCGGTAACTGCGTCTCTGACAAGTCCCCATACGAAGTCTAGGTCGGCGCCATCAATAGGCTGGCCCTGTCGAGCCTTGTGACGCAGCACTGAGACACCAAGTGCGAGATGGATCAGTTGCCATGATGCTTGCCACACGGGTGAGTTATCTTGGGTTTGAAGAACGGCATTATGGAGCCATTCCCTTATCGTAAAAGTGTCCCTCTTCGGCTGGATGATGAGCCCGGTGTTTGATATGATATATCGTGCGTGCTCTGAAATACCTTCAGACACCTTTGTAGCCGCGATAACCCCTGTGATGATCTGGTGGAGCACCGAGCGAGAAACATCGAGGTGTTGAGCCTCGTGGCCTTCATTATCAAGCTTGTTCGTAGTCATGGCCGCTGAGAGCGGGGAGATGTCAGCAATGCCATGGAAACAAATTACCGGGACTCATTCACTGCGACTTACTGGAATCAGGCACAGTCAAGTGAAATCAGCTGGGGTATCGGGAAGCGTAACTGTGCGTGAGGTCGGGTATCAGAAGTGGAAAGGGAGATGAAGAGGACGGCAATCGGGTATATTTTCAGCTGTTCATGGGTTTTGATAATGTCAAAAATGAAGAGTCACAGTCCGCCCGATGGCCAAGGCATAATCCCCCGTTGGTTGTGAGCGGCTTCTGACCGTCCATTTCGTTCGAGATGTTGCCAATCGTGCCACACCACAATGGTGCTCAGCCTCGGAGGCTCCAAATAACGAGGCAGGGCAGCAGGCTCAATTGGCCATCAACAGCCTAGGCGACTAACGTAGCGACCAACGATCTAGAAAAGCGGTTGTGTCATAATGGCAAAGCTTGACCGCCGCTCTTCAGTGTTTGCAAGTTCAACCTTGGAGGTAATCGGCTTGGCTGCCTGAGGGCTGACGTGATCAAAGGTGGTGTTTACGGGTGGATGACCTTATCACCGGGGGCCAAGCCATGCGTTGCGGATTGCTTAATGCCGAACAAAAAATGGCAAGTGGCTGACTACTATGAGGGGTTCGTCAACCGGGATAACGACTGCCGATTCGATGCGAACAATGCCGCAGAGGGTTAGGGCTCCAGCCAATGTACTTGGCTGCCGATGCCGTCCGCCCGCCCCGAGTCATCCACGACGTCTCCCCTGCCCGATTCTTCACAGTGTCAACCGATCCGATCACCGCAGCCAGGTGCACCGTCAATCTTCTGAATCATTTGGATATTCGAGCTACTACTCAGTCCGTGGGGAACAGTAGGCTCAAGGTACGTTGACACCGGCATGACTAATAACAATCACCCAAATGCACCGTCATGCTGCCAACTTGGGTGTTCCATCTAGATCGCGACACAAAGAGAAAGACATGCAAAGGCGCAATATCATCTGTTTCTTCTGACACTTGGTGTAGGCAAGATGGGAAGCACCTTTATAGACACTTCGGGCGCGGACTTCTCCGCGCCCCCCGTTCAGGTCACCTTCGACGGCCTTTTGTTCGACATGGATGGCACCATCATTGACTCTACCGCTGCTGTTGAGAAACACTGGGAGGCGTAAGTCTAAATTCCTCTTACGTCTATATGGCGTAGAATAGCAAGTATGCTCGGTTTCACGAGCCCAACACGGAGATACACTCGAGTGTCTGTCCGGCCGTGGAAGATGCAGATAGCACAAGGCAAGACGGTCAAGAAGGGAAGCAGAGTATCCTTTACCACGAAGATATTGAGAGTCATCACTTCGTGAATTTGATCTCGTATATACGATTCATGAGACTTACTGACAAATGTCAACATAAATAGCATCGGCAAGGAGATCGGGCACTCGCCCGAGGTCATCCTCCAGTAAGTCAATATCACCACCACCATACCTCCCGGTCACTCAACGATTACCGATGATTTCCAACTGACCCGTTAATCTCCTATGATCCAGGACCTCCCATGGCAGAAGATCCATTGATATTCTCAAAGAACTTGCCCCGGAGAAGGCAACTTTGGAGTGTAAGTCAGTTTGAAGTCTGGGCCGCAGGCTGGCCTGCAGTTAGTCAACCAAACCTAGGCAATACACCGCACTAACAACACTGAATCATGCCAGACGTTCAGCACATGGAGGGTCTTCTCCCTAAGAAGTATGGCAACGACGCGGTTGAGATCCCCGGTGCCCGCGCCCTGCTTCAGGACTTGATAGATCGTAAGAAGCCGTGGGCCATCGTTACTTCAGGTACTTTGCCGCTCGTTTCTGGGGTAAGTGAACTCGCTGCTGTTACTCCATTCACTCCCCCCGTTAAACGTTTGCAAACCTTGTTCGAATATGTTCTTCACTCTCCATTTCTGCACATCTACACATATCTCACCCCACATAACCTCTCTCATTTGACATAATCTTCATGCTGTTTCTTGGGAGACACGCATCATTTCATCCGTGCTTTTTGTTATCAATGGCCCTCTGTCATTCAGCTGGGTTCCTCAATCCTTCATACAAGTTATCACACTTCTTTTACAATGGTCTTCTTGCCAGAGGTGCCATTGCTCTCCCGCATTCACCCATCAGACTCATGTTTGAATTATCACTTGAACCACTCTTCTACCAACACTATTGATCGGTTTACCCTTGTCCTTCACTACATCCCCGTCCTATCGACTTCCAAGATGGCCCCCTACATTCTCCCCGTACCATACTCTCTAATGTTCATCATCGTTTTCACGGTTCAAATTACTCTCCCATATGTCATCCCCCTTTCCACCCTTATACACCCACTCACCTAGTTTGCGCCGCTCCCATCCAGCTATCAGTATCTATCTCCTCACCCCATCCACTCCTAATTTGACTTTTACCTTAACTTCCCTCACATCCCTTCCATTGTTTTTTCTCCTTACCTACCTGGTACCTGATAACCATTCAATTCTCAACTATTTCCCACATCACTTCCCTAAACCCATCCTACCCCCCGTCAAGACCTCCTTACCACCTCACACTTCACCACCACTTTCCCACTTGCTCGTATCCAACCTAGAAGCTAACACCTCAACAGTGGTTAGACGTCCTCTCCCTCCCCCACCCCGCGCACCTCATCTCCGCCGAATCCGTCGTGAACGGCAAGCCCGATCCTGCCTGCTACTTGCTCGGTCGCGAACGCCTCGGCCTCTCAAACCCAAACGTCGAGGTCTTAGTGCTGGAAGACGCGCCCGCGGGTATTCGCGCCGGCAAAGCCGCGGGTTGCAAGGTCATTGGCTTGGTCACCAGCCATACGGTTGAGCAGGTGCTGGAAGCAGGTCCGGATTGGGTGGTGAGGGATTTAAGCAGTGTCAAGTTTGTGCCAGAGAGCAGCGGGGATGGGAAGGTTACTTTGGAGATTAGGGATGCGTTGGTCTTGAAGAACTAGACCTGGAGGTTGGCAACATAAGAACGGAAAGGCTGGATTGATTGTGGCAGATTAGACTTTGGAGTTGCAATTAGAGGAGAGTGCTGTCGGTGAAGCCATATAGAATAGAGGTTACTCCTTGCTTGTAGACGAATCGACTGTTGTTGAGATGTCAAAGGCGTGCATATGTCTACCGATTGGGACGGTCGGTCGAATATTCTCTTGCTCTTTCATTACCGTCAAGTGTAAGAAACGCTCCCGAAGTGAGGCCGAATCTCTCATCCCTCTCTCTCTTTCTCTCTCATCTCGTCTTATCATTGGCTTAAGACAACATACACTCACATTCTGGGTAGACTCGCCTCCCACTTAAACTACCCTTACACTGTACTCCTGCTCACGGAATGATGTCGTACGAGACAAAATCACGCCAAGGCTCCGTCATCAGACATCAGACAGCCAAGACAGGATTATTTATCCAGACAGGCATACCGACAGGCATATAGAGAGACATACACATTAGACAGAGGCAAACAGCCAGTCAGACACCCATATACCTCTAATTAGACACCAGTACGGCTTTCAAGAAATAAGGGTTCGAGACACGATCGCACCACCAAGACGAACAGGTGTTCTGTAGCCTGGTATATCCGCTCCCGAGTCTCTGTCTCTCATGTCGATTTGCGTTCGCCTCACATCACCTGTTTCTCAATTCCGACCGATTCGTCTCAATAACAAAGGCTGCGAAGTCACCCGGGTATCTTGGGCTCATTCAGAAATATATGTTTCCATTCAACCAAGCTCAGTTTGTCAACGAATGAAGCGAAGCTAAGCTTTCTCAACCTTTCCCCATCCAGGCGGTTCCCAAGCGAGCCTCCTCTTACCTAATGACGACGGCTTATGCACCCGTGTGTTCATTTCACCTTCACCTCTCTTCCGGTCCTTGGAAGAGTCGATCTCGCTCACGAACAATGAGGGGCTGTTTCATCTTAGTGCCGGATTTCGGTCGGTAAACTTGATGTCCTGTGGAAACCATGTCTCCATCATGAAGCCAGCGCCTTGGCGTTGAAGAAAAGAAAAAAGGAAAGAAATAGGAGACTTGATGTCAGAACAACTCTCACTCCCCGTCTTCTCGGCATGAAGTGGCACCCTTTCGTTTTCCTTTGTCGTTTTCGGCTTCCTTACCTACCTACCTATCTTGCCGAGGAGTTCCAAATGGATTTCTCTTCTCCCTCAACAACTTCAAAGACTTGGAGAAACAACTGGGAAATGCCGTGTTACCATACGGTAATAGCAAATGCTCATCTCTGCTCTTTTGCTTGCTTGCTCGTCTACAAAGATGGATTCAAGACATGGCAAGAGAAGGAAGAGAAGAGCACACCCAGCCACCACGTACGAGGCTCATCTGGATCTCCTTCCTTGCCCCTTCCCCCATGGTCTAGTCCAGTCCGACAGAGAGTGTACGCATGAAGGTGCGTGCATCGTATATGGACGAAAGGAAAAGCCACTTTTTGACTTTCCCAATCTGAGCCCTTTTCACCTCGATGAATTCCCAACCATCGGTATTCCCTGTACTGACTGGTACGTGGTCAAATTTCGAGGCCCAGTAGACCGGTCCTTGTGCAAAAGAGAAGTGGAACTAAGGGTGGCGAATTACAGACCACGCTTCATAGGTAAGTAGGTAGGAAGGAGTGGAAAACGGACATAATAGGACAGAAAATAAGAATAAAAAAGAAAAGACACCAAGACAGAAGAAGGAGACGCGCGAAGATTATCCACAACGGCAGTTAGTTTATTTCGCCTCTACGAGAGAAGGTTACATTCACACTCATCACTAAAACGTAGAATTTTTTTTCTTCTGTTTGGACCAGCATGTCAGTTAAAAGGTAAACACAAAAAACACCGCACCGCACCGCACCGCACCGAACCGAACCGCATTGAAACTTGTGACAACGTGGAGTGTACATAGTGCAAGGAGGTGGAAATGGGGGGGAGGCTTGCGGTAGAAGGCTTGTCAGACATTTAAGCATCGCGGCATGACGATGGTCATGTGTGTTAACCAAAGTTGCCAACAACACCACCGCGACTCACCCAACCCGCAAACATAAATCCCTCAAGTTTCAAGATTGCAGTTTTAAGTGTGCCAACGAGTTCTCGCCGCTAGCGTGTCTCCGTGTCTCTTCGCAAAATCTCTTGCTCTCCAACATCCCCCCAAGCAAGCAAGCAAGCGAGAATCAGCAGCCGTGGTTTGTTTCCGTAGGGCGCGACTCTCATGCCGCCGCTTTCCTAGGTACGATCTTAGAAGTAGGTACCGTCTTATCGGCAGGTAGGTAGGTAGTCAAGGGTTATCGTTATCAAAGAAGCCCATTTTCCTCTGACAACCGGAAGATGACGCCCGGGTTTCCTCCACTCAATCTCTCGAATGGGGGTCCCAGATGCCCTCACCGCCTGGCCCCCTTCTCCACGACCAATATGCCGGAATTTTCGGGGGGACCCAGCAAGTAAAACGACAACAGCTTGGGTTTCCACAGCGCATTGTCGTAATTGTTATCCTGTTTCGAAAGCTTCACCCGATCCCTTTTTCCTCCGTACTGTGCAAGACGCCGCCTCGACATTTACCGAGACGTAGCGTAGCGTGGTCACTACTCTGTCGCCTCCTCCCACCTGAGTTTCCATTCAAAGTGTGACACGACGATAGGTGATGGGCAGGCAATCAGCTCTTGGCGTGCTCCCGTCTAACGTAGGTTGAACTGTTTTTGGCCTCCAGGCCGATGAGATGAGGAGGCAGAGTAGGATACTGATCATCCACCGGTCTCCATCTACACCCAGCCGAAGCCAACTAAAGGCCCCCCTCCCCGTCCTCATGTACATAGGTAGCTGTAGCCAAGTCGTCAGGCAGTTGAGGAGAGGTATGTACACAGCACTGTGTGTGTGTCCCCCTGTCCAAGTCAGTGTACTTCTGTACAGCATCCATTATCGGTCCATTCAACGCTCACCACCTAGTCTCCATAAACTCGTCAGTGTCCATACCCCTCTTCCTTACCCGCCGCCTCGAAGCAGGGAATGTGGGAAGGGGAAAACTCCCTCTTACCTGCCATTCGTCAACGACCTCGAACTCCTTGCTGAAGATGGTGTCATTGGCGACAGTACAGGCTTAGCCAATGCCGCCGACCTTTGTGTGGCTTTGTGGGGAGCAACAACATGAGGGGGGGTTAGGTCACATCCGAATACTCCCCCCGAGACAGCACTCAGAGCCCGTTCTCTCTCCCTCCATCTGGTTGTCTCTTCTCTCTTTTTGTCTCTGCTCTCGGTTCTGGGTGCCGAGACATAGGGTGACACGGGTGAGATACCGTGTTGAGATGGAACAGGCGACGAGTAGGGCCAATCGTGTTCGTAGATGTATGGATATGAAGGCGAGAAGGGGGGGGTCCCCGTATGGGGTACAGATAGACCTGGATGAGAAAACACCATGCCTCGTGGCCCATGTTTGGCGAAGGGAAGAGCTTCTCCTTCAGTTACCCCTGCTAGCATATTGTTATGATTTCTGGTAGCCATTGAGCTCTGAGTTGTGTATGTACGCTTACCACCCCCGTATTGAAGAGCAAAAAGTTGATCTAAGGAGCTCTTCTTCCTAGGTAGGCTGATGCTGATCCCGATGTCTCCCAGAGCATGAGGTCGGAGCAATCACTTTGCCCCCCGAGGCCTGAAGCTGATCAGCTGAGCGTTTTTCAACCATCTGCGTGAAACGGTATCTGTGGGCTTGCTGAAGCCCTACCAGGCTACCCTTCGAGCCCGGGTCTGGCCATGTTATCCGCTGGAGAAAAGACGGGGACTAGGAAAGAACCTTGGGTCAGAACGCGAATTTTGAATTGCCCCCCAAGCATCGTACGCACTCTTCTGTTCAATTCGCTGAACAACGTGCTATGAACACAAAAAGAGAAACGAGAGAGTGGAAGATGGTTGCAGAGCAGATTGACACGAATGGCTGGTGAAAAAGTTTCGCGCCGTCGTCATGCCGGTGATGGTCTTCTAGACTGCCCTAGATGTCGACCTTGCGACAGTTTGGGGAAATTAAGTCGTCCTGGTGTTCCCGGAGGAGGAGTGGCGGTGGCAACATCATTCGAGCCCGCAGCCTAGACTCATGTCCAGGGATTTTCGTTTTACCCGCAACATTGTACCATTAGCCAAACGAGCCCGTTAGCAGCGATGATTTTTTTCTTTTTTTTTTTCTTCTTTTTCAATTGTTTGCGGCTGAAAATCACGCTGCCATATCAACGGTTTATATCCACTTTCCAGGAAACCTGTGATATGAGAATCGCGTTCGCACGATGAATGTTCAGTCCAAATTGCGCTTGCGCATCAATTGCTGCTCGTCTACCTCATAGCAGATATTTGTGTCTGCCAGTGATCGGCAGTGAACGACAATCCAACCAAACGGTAAGCTATAATTTTGCCCCCGAAGCTCGCCAGTCAGCTTATACACAAAATTTACGACGTTTGTCGAGAACTTGTAGAACTGCCCTAAAAAAAGGGGGGGAAAGAGAAAATACAAAGAAAAAAAAAAAAAAAAAAACGTTGGAACTTTCTAACCGCTCACGCCGTTGGACTGGAGAGATTTCTTCATCCAGATAGATGCCTGTATGCGTGTAATTGGTCTGGTATACGGGCTGCAATTTGTTCAGGAAGCAAGTGTAAGACATTTCGGACTCAAGATTGGTGGCTGTTCCTGGAGCAGGTAAACAGTCGCCCAAAATTTATCATGAACTGGAGTATGCCTTCATGTTTTGTGCACTGTCGCACTTCCGCCTGTCTCGACAGGGATGAACATAGATGGAGGGACGACATCGGCCACCCGGTCCCGAAGAACAGGCGGGCGTTAATGATGAAATGACACCGGAACAGCTCCTGCAAGGTCCCGACTGCCTTTCGTAGGTGATAGAACGGCCCTGAGCTGATCAACCATCATTTTAAGAAGCTGAATCGGTTCGTGCGCCAGAATCGGCCTTCCACGGGCGCGACGGAGCTTGCGAAATTCGATGCCCAAGAACTATGACCCCCTCGGGCAATTGCATGCTCCAATTCATTTGTCGACCGCAAAAGATAGGGGCCGAAATTCTCGCGAATAAACGCTGTGAATTAGTATCTTGACGTTCTGGAGAGGACGGAGAAGTGCTTCTGTAGTGTTGAGAGCCCTGGTCATTGTCGAAACTCTACGAACGGGAACGAGTTGTTCTCTTCCTGAGGTCAAAAAGGTCTCTAAGTTGGCCTTGTTCCACCCTTGTTTTACCTCGTCAAAAGAACCAAACTGACAAACAAACCAGGGTTGAATTATAGACGGTTGTGTAGATTGACATCATACCAGGAACGGATACAGACAAATTGCCGGAAATAGTCGGCGCTTTGCGTACCCGCCAGTTGACATCTGATTCTCTTGAGTGATCAGTGTATGTAGTCACTTCCACAAGCCCCAGAGTGAAGTCCAGATGGGAGTAGGTATTTCCATCTCACACGGTGCTAGCAAGCACAACCAAGACCGCTGTAGCAACTGTAGTGGACATTTAGCCAACATAACAGAACGCCTTGTGGCCTGGAGCCTGGCCCTATAATGACGCCTCGGAGAAGCTCGCTACGCCACCTCTGCAAGCTATCGTGATCGACGGCTACTGATGTCCTGCTTCAGTCGGGCGTTGCTTGCTGCAGGAACATGAAACAGACGAGCAAGCTGCGTCAATCTTGATATTCTTTGCGGGTAGTTGGCGATTCAATGATATTGCTTGAACCACTTGACCGAAGGATTGCGTGTTGGGGCATGTCGAAGAGCTAGATTGCGGCTCAAATCGCGGGACGAAATTAGAGTCGATGTTGTGTAATTACATCTGTCGTACAACGGCCCCCACGCCTGCAATGACGACCCCTACGAAGAGGCACATTCTCTCGGGTTTCTTTGTCCCCTTCAGCGTCCAAATATCCATATTTGAGTGTTCAACCTGAAAGGTCCGTCTTCACGGCTCCCCCCATCGAGGCCGAGCTTTTGCGGTGGCATTTTCGGGCAGAAGAAGGCTTAATGCGTCCGCGCACTGAGATATTCGGAGGGATTGAAGTTTTCCCTTCAGAACCACGTGGCCGCCCTCAACTTCTGTCGAATATCTCGCAAGGGCGTGATCAGAGTCGCAAGAGAGCGAAATGTCGAACCACTCATTTGCAGGCAGGGTCCAACAGCTCTGTAGTAAGCAGTTGCGTTGTTCAAGACAGACCTAGTCGTATAATGCGTACGAATCCTATCACCGGATCCTACCCTTGGATGGTGAAATGGCCGCGAGAGAGATGCGCGCGGCTACGCTGGCTGCGATTCGCTCCTCGTTGATGAATATACCAATTACCGAGATCAGAGCAGCGGGGTTATTACTGTTGCAGCAATCAGTTAAGAGCAATTCGCTGCAGATGTTCCAAAGCTCCCTCAGAGCCTTGAGCTTTGGTAGCTTTTCAAATGCTGTTTGGATAAACAGACGCTCAAGATCCAGTGCATTGGTCTATCGCGCATCATAGGATGATCGATGTTTGGCTAATGATTCGGTGCGAAAGCATATTTCGCTTGCTGATTGAGGTGCCCCACGTTTCTTGATCATCTTCAGAGCGGGAAGAACCGTACACGACTCTAGAGTCTAGTCAGGGTCGTTCAGTTGCAATACTGTGCAGCGCCCCGGGAATAAGAGCATGCCGTTGCCTGTCCTTATATGTTGGTTGGGGCGTGCCGAGCTTCGATGATGGCCAATACACATTCTCGGAGCGCCTAGTCAACTTTGTACGTGTAGAACAGAGCGGCCAACATGGGTGATGAGGACGTGGGGGCTTCCCCGCGATCAGGCTACCACAATGGGACCAGTGATGAGGAGCCTTTTGCCTATTGAAGACTGAAAGACTATCTCATATCCCAAGGCAGCTTGTTTAGTCGGGGGCTGAACGACGGGATGGGAGAAGAAGAAGGTTGTCCAACACGCGGTACCGGAGATATCTCTTCAGATGCGAAAAGCGGTTGGTCTTCCGCGTCCCTGACATCTTTAACATGATCATATTCTCCGTGTGGGTGTTTAGGGCCTGCGGGTGAGAACCTGGTAGCCTTGACTGTTAATTATCAGCGATATGATGCAGCTGTCCCGTCCGTGGTAAACCTCGATGTTGGCGCTCATCGCGGGCAGAGGTTTGATGCGACGCAGTGCGCCGATAAATCTGATCCTTTGGTTCTCCAATCATGGAGTCTCTTCACCTCTCTTTCCAGGGAAGCCATATATGAGTGAAGGCCATAAATAGAAGTGTAGCCCTCAATGCGGGTGCATAGATGTCGTATTACGTCGCGGCGTCGCGCCGTGTCTCTTGCGTGTGCATTTGTAGAGCCATAACAAATGATGACGGTCAGCAGGACGCTTGAATACCGCGGCTCCGGTTCGTCGGATCTCAACTGCGGCTCACAGGGATCATGAGTGTGTAAAGTCATGATACTCCCAAGGTTGTGTGTAAATACCATGACTTGGTATTCATCAGCGAATGGCACCAAGCGATCTTGGAGCGGCGAACGACCTACCTTGAGGCTGCCTGGCAGAGCAACGAACACCACAATGGCTGTGTAACCAGTCATTTCCAAGCACAGTTCTCTGGACGACAAGAAATTGGCAGTGAGATGCGACTTCGTGGTCGGTGACAACAAAATGTGCTAGAGATGTACGGACACTGTACCGCATGGAGTATGTATATATTCATGTTCATCGGGAGAAGGGAGCTTTTGAGCAGGCTTCAGCTTGCTCAGCCGTGACCGCAACTGGGACCGGCCGGGTTGCTGCAGAAAAAGCCCCGAGTACGAAGAAACGAATCAAGAGTGGGAGTAAGCGAACTGGTCCACAGAACACCAACCAGATTCAGCAGGACCGGTCAAGACAAAGTGTGAGGCCCAGACGGAAATGTAGACAGTGAGCAAGTGACCAGCGGAAACTTGATGTCCCGAGTCCTTTGCCTTTCAACAGCCATGTAACACAGCATCGGGTTATGCAAAGGTAGCTGCCGCCGGGCCGCTGTGCAACTTCAGTTTAGCGAATCATCAGTCTCTCTGTTGTTCCCGAAGGATGAGCGATGCGCATTAATCGAGTAATGAGGAGACCGGGCTGTCTGTCAAGCATGGACTTGACTCGTTCGCTTCAGATTTATGTGTTGGTATTTTAGGGGATTCCCATCTCTTGGCAGGATCCTGGGCCGAGTAGGCGTAGAAACAGTGACCTTTTTGCGCGAGGTGGCCCAGTGTGAGTCTTTTGACTGAGACCCCCCTATAGACCCCTACCAGAGAAATGTTGCCGTAAGGTGCGTTGATCGAGCCTTGGGAGGGTTGCCGAAGCATATGTGATTGTTGTGTCTCGGTGGCGCCACGCCATCAGCCAGTTTCTACCCGTGGCCAGTGGGAGAGAAAGAGTGCCTGACTGTTGTTTATTTGAGAAGTGATGCTTCTTCTCGTCTTGTCAATACGACATGTAAGCGCATCGAAACTGTCCTACCCAGAACTGAAGCACGTCTAGAAGATGGATTTTCCTTGCACGTGATTCACTTGATAGCAGGAGCATGTACCGGTACGTAAGATGCTGAACCCCATCTCCTAGTATGAATTGGGTTCTGCTTGCGATTGGTCGCCTCGTCAGCTGGTGCGTATCGTGTGGCATCTGGCCCGTCTCTTTCTGTTGGTGCGAAGGTCCGAGGCGGTCCCGATCGCACATCACCAGCCCAGCGTCCCATCTTGGCTTGCTCCGTGTTGCCAAACAGTTGATTGGCTTAAGCCTTTAACGGCCCCGTCATCTCCAAGCCGAAGGTGGGCCGGCGAGATGAGCAAAGGGGTGAAATAGAGATCACGATCTGGGTACTTGAGTGGTGAGCAGAGGCGGAACCAGGGATACGCGGTGAGGTCAACATTCCCACTTGACGACTTGAAGGCGTGTGTACTGCGGTAGACGGGCGGGACGACAAGCTTGAAGACGAGGAAGGGACCGTGACAGAGTGCGGGAGATCGTAACACTCCGACGCAAAGAGTGAAGTTCCAGACAGGAACGAAGAAGGTGCGCTCTGCAGTGATTGAACCACTCCAGTCCAGTCAAGAACCCAAATCGCCCGACTTGAACAGTGTAGACCTCCGACTCCACTCATCCCGCACTGGCAACCGAACTGTAGTGCGGTGCACGGCTCTGTAAAATCCGTCACTGAATGCCTAACCATGTGCCACGCAGGCATTTCAATCGATCATGATTTGAGGCTAACTGTGCGGACACAGTGTGGTAAGGTTTGAGATGAAATTTCGGAAACTTTGCATGTACACTACAGAGGTCCGTTATGGTAATTTACTGGGAACTCGAGCATTCCCTGTACTCGGTACGGGCACCTACTGCGTAGTAGACTACACTAGTGCCTGCCAGCTCCGTGTCTGGACCTGGCCCTCCGGACCGACTTCATGAGCGGTCATCCCTTCCTCATCAGAAGCACATGGCGCAGACTTTGACAACGTCATCGACTTGGAGAAAATTCTGCACTTGGAAATTGGTATTGCAATTGGCTCAACAACTGATTGAAAGCTCGCTGAGCAGATCAGCCATCCAGTCCGTCACCTCGTTTCGAAAGTTCAATCAGCTTTTTGGGGTGCGATTGACGGGCACACGCGCTGCACCGTACCACACAGCAGACGCCCACTTTTGGTCCGTCATCACAGTCTCCCGATTGGGCGGTTCCTGCGCAGGAATCGTCAAGCCGTCCAGTCTAAGCCAGTCAACTCCTCCAAAGGAAATGTCAGAGTTCCGCCGTTCCTCATCTCGCTCAGGTCTCTGCCTGCCCCAGTCATCAAGCGGTCCCACATCCCCCCACCGGCCGCAGCACACAACGGTTTTTCTCTTCAGCTCGGGCCATATCAGCCATGCTTCCCTTTGGCCAACGCTCGGGCCGTAGTTTTCCCTATTCTCTCCTAGCGCCTTGGTGTTGTCGGCTTTGCACTCGCATTCGCCAAGAGCTAATGTACCGTTTGATCTACCCTCTCCACCTCTAAAGCCAAGAACCAATCGAAATCAGGCTTCTGACTCGATCTTCTTTTTGTTTTCCTTTGGCTCTGTTTAGACGATTCGAGCAAGAGGCTCCAGACCACCATGACGTTTACAAGAAAGTGCACAACAACATCGAGCACACAACGACGATACTTTGATTCTACCCCATCCAAGCTCCACACTCCCCAAGTACACTACCCAAAACTGTGTGCACTCGCCCCGAGAACATGTAGCCGATCAGGGCCTAAGAAAAAACCAAACACGCGCTCAACGGCGAGACTAAAAGACTCGGCTGTATCCACCCAGCGGATAGGCTGTCTCGGCTACATCGCAAGAGCTACTACCACATACAACTCATCATCTAAGGTACTTACCACTTTTGTTGTACGTAACCGCGTAACCGCGTAACCGAAGCTCTCTCCAGGTCCGCAGCGCCGTCTCGCGCCTCCAATGGCAGAGCTGGCAAGCTGGCTGTTGACGCACACTGCCAGGTGACTTCGACACCCTCCACAGTTCGGCCTGTCTCTTGGACTCGCCAGTCCCCAGCGTGCCCAGTCAGCTCCAGCCCACACATCGGTCGTCGTCGTCCACGGTGTTGCAAACCAGTTGCTTGCAAGACAAAGAACACGGGCCTGCACCCATGCATCTCCCTGAGGTTCAGGACTCTTCATTAAAGCTGCACTGAGCCTGCATCAGGACCAGGGATACAGCCGCAAGCCAGCGTCAAGAGTCGATCCCCAAGGGTTGCTCAGCAAAAGCCGGGACTGGTGTCTACATAGCAGTCTACCATGTACTATGTATATTGGGCCTGCTGTGCGATGATTGCGGGACGGTGCTGTCTCCAGTCTCTCCAATGGCCAGGGACGAGATGCGATGCACTGGCCGGTTTGGCACTTTGAACTCTGGAGTGCCTATAGCCAGCCTCCATCCAGATGATCAGCTCGACCCCTGATGCCATGTTCGTCGTCGTTCACTCTCTGGGCTCTGCAGGTGTGGGATTGCTGTTCCCAGGGCGCAGTGATGATGCATGTCAAAGGATCCGACCACCGTCGCTCTCTTGTCTCTTTCAGCTCCCCTTTGACCCTTCCATTCCCCCATTGTCCCCTTTCCGCGGCATAACTCTGGCTGGCGAAGGGTAACGTTTATCCAGGATACAAAAATCCATGTACCTTCTCGCCTTTGGCAGCGCCCATCCCGGTCACTCCTACTAAATGTTTTCCTCACAACTGCGTCGAGAAACTTATTGCACCAGCAAAATCCAGCGCGCCCAAAAAGGTTTTTTTTCCCGCTCGGCTTGTAACGAGCTTAATGCCGTGGGTGAAAGAAAAGTTGCCAAAGGTAGCCAGGACATGGGGGCTTTTGCCTGGGCGCGAAAAGGTGCGTGCGTTTTTTAAATCTCGATAATCGTTCCCTGATGACTGAAGGTCTCTCGACCTCGCAACCCCAACCACACCAACTACAGTAGCTTCAGTTCCCACACCCCATGCCCCCTTTCTCATTACACACACTGTGTTACGTCCTTGCCAGTCATGTACCGGTACCCGGTCTTTCCAGTTTCTGGTTCTCATCCATCAGAGCACGAAATGCCCCGGGGAGCTGGTCAGCGGGTCGGCTAACCAACCCAAGATGTCGTGATGACTGGTAAAGCTATCCATGTGCTACTCTTATAGACCAGAGACCTTCGATCCGGCTGTCCCGTATGGTGAGTCTAGCCAGCCATGACTTGGCGATTGCAAAAGGTGTGCAGTACCAATGCCTGTATCGATGTTAAGACACTTCACAGATGTTTTGGGATGTTATAGGTGTGTATATGCACGGAAACTTTGGCCTGGAGCGCCATCCCGTCTTTACAGTACAAAAGTCAACAAAAAAAAGTATCTCACCAGAACGATCAGGGCGACAACCAGGGCAGTCCCCCCCTGCTCCCTCTCCGCGGTGCCCAGACGTGGATCACTTGTGATTCCCTGTCCATGAACACCCACACTGCTTGGAGCACTTTCCCTCCCGACCATCCCATTCCACTTTCCGCCCTAGAGACCCCCTCCCCCCCCTCCGGAGGCTCCCACGTACGAAGTAGTCAGGTACCGGCCTAGCGCCGCCTCAACGTGTGTTTGCCTGTGCGCGTTGGTCGTCGACACTAGGCCAGCGGTACATGTTGACTAGACCTGCACAATGTACAAGACTCCGTGGCGTACACCTTGCTTGTGTTGCTGTCTGGATCCTCTTCTTCCTGTTCTCATCCCCGTTGAGCTGGCAACACCTCACACGGCGCAAATCACAGCACGTCTTGTCATCAAACCATCTCCTTCTTCTTCAACCGCCGATATCACCACTCTAGGTTGCTTCTAGGCCAGACAAGACTCGCTCCCTCACTTCTTCTCGTCCTGTAAGTCCCTGTTGTGATTTGTCTTCCTGGATTCAGGTTGCCTGTCCTTGCCGCCTTCAGTCTTACTAGGGATCCGCGAGACCAAGGTGAGCCGACACATCGTCACTTCGCCCGTGTCTCGCTCTCCCGCTCCCGCCCGTATCTTCCCAATCTCATCGAACCCTGTAGCCCCTGTCAGCTCGCCCCTCCGGGCGGCTTGCTCACTCTTAAACTGGTTAAGCCCCCTCCCCCCCGAACAGTTCACCCCCTTGCTCCTTCTTAGCCCTGGTATTCCGCTTGACCCACACGTTCTTTCATAACAACCGAGAGTCTGCCGCTTTCTCGTTCATCTGACCCTCAGTCACTCCTTCCTGCAAACCCATCAGCCCTTTATCATCATCCCAACTCGAGACAGAGAGTCGTCTGAGAGAGCACTTGTATAGACGCCAGCCGGTCTCCTGGGTTTCCTTGACTGACAACAGGATCGCTCTTATGCTGTAGCTCTGGAACTCGAGTCTCTGACTTGATCGCTCATACTGCCATATTTAGTCGGCAGAATCACTAATCTGCCTCTTGCCCATCTCCGCGGTGTCGACGAACTAGGGACAATGGATCCGGAACTATTGAAGTATTACCAGCAGCAATACTACCCGGGCATGGGCTTTGCTGGCCCACAACACACACAACACCATGGGCCCCAGTATCAAGTCTGGAGTCCAAACAGCTACCAATGGACGGTTCTTCAACAGCAGAGGGCAGCGATGATGGTGGGGCCAGGAAGCTTACACCCCTCGAAGCAAACAGAGCCCAAGCCTAGGTTGGCAAAGGACGAGGTCGAGCTACTGGAACGAGAGTTTGCCAAGAACCCGAAGCCAAACACCAGTCTCAAACGTGAGCTGGCTGAACAGATGGGTGTTGAGGTTCCAAGGATCAATGTTTGTTCTCGCGAGAAATGATGCCCCGGTTGTGTCGTGAGCTAACATTCGTTTGTTAGAATTGGTTCCAAAATCGACGAGCGAAGGAAAAGCAGATGAGGAAAACAGCCGAGTTTGAAGCACAACAAGCGAGAGAAAGAGCAGAGTCCGAATCCAAACCCTCCGACGACCAGGACCAAGGCGCCGTCACCGAGTTTTATGGTCTAAGCAACCGCCATCAGCCCCTGGGCCTATCGACCGCTTCCATCGGGAGCGAGGATGGCGCCAACAACGACCAGTCTGATCGGCAGCGCCCAAATCTCGAGCAGTCAGATCTGGCTTTGGCTGGAAATGCGTCGGCAGCGGCTACGCAAAGTAACGCCTCCCCATCTGGATCAGATAGCGATGGGTTTGCTCCTGCTGATTACAACACGCCACACTCGTCCGGACCGCGTGGATACGGGCTTGTCAGCCATGCTACACCAACAACCGTCTCGAATTCATACGGCTCAGCTTCGAGCCATATGCAGTATTCACAGCCAGCCCCATTTCCATATGGTCTAAATGAGCCACCACGACCGGTGGATGGTCTTCCAATAGCCACCACCATGCCACAGCATGATAGTCTGCTTGGTGAAGCAAATCAATTTGGATCTTACACTGAGCGGACCATGTTTATGCACCCTTCCGACGGACCATTTACATCGCAAATGGGAGGCCAGGATGGAACTGGAAATGGCACTGCTGACCATCCAATGGTCCGCATGTCGATCGAGGGTGCGATCAACTCGGAAAACATGTCTCCTTCATCGGGCACTGGTTCGTCTCCAGTGATAGCGGACCTGCGCCTCAGGTCACCGCCTCCGCCTTCCGACATTGCCAGCCGCAGAAACCTGCGGCGTCCAGCGCCGCTGGGACCTCTGTCGCTCCGGACCGATTGCGTTGGAAACGGACCAAAGACAGGTATGGATGTTGCGCCCCGACGGATGGACAACGCACGCACGATCAGGAGGATGTCTTCGGCGACCGGAAGCTTGACAGGTCGCATACAAAAATCTCTGGCCTTGAACTCAGGAGGACCACGCTCTCCGTTCCCCATCGATCGAAAGAAGGAGGCCCTGCTACAGGGCATTCAGAACGTCCAACCACCCCCTATCATGGCGTCTCTGAACAGCGCCATGTCCCCGATGACCAATGGTGGTTCAGATGATGAGCAAGCGTACACCTTTGGCTCTTGTGGGGCGGTCAGTGGGATGTCGTCCATGCCGCCATTTAAATCCGAAGCTGGAATCAAGACACCGCCTGGGACGCCTGGGCTAGGTGTTCACTTCCGTGATCCATTCGCGTACTCGGCCCCGGCTGACAACGCTTGGGGTTACGTGTCTTCGGATGAGCCTCTACCCACCCCTGGCCTGTGCAGCAATGGGGGCTCTGAGCTGGATTACTCCATGGCGCCGCAACAGCAGTTGTCTGGTTATGTTACCAGTCAGCCTGTGACCCCTTCATTTGCCGCCGCCATCGGACCGACTTATAACAACGTATACGGAACCAACGGCGGAAGTCATCTGGCTAGAAATACCGAGTATACCTTCCCGGAGTCGTACCAACCCGAATCTTCGTCACGGTGCTCGCCGGCTGGCCAGTTGAGGACAAAACAACAACAATTCCAGTTTGCTCAAAACGTCACGCCTCAAGACTTTAGTCATGAAAAGTGAAGAAGCAAAAGAAATAGCCGGCCGGACTGAGGCGCAGCTTGCTGGGCGTCTTTCTTTCAGGCTGTTTTGATCACACATTTGGGATGGCAGACTCCTCTGGTGTGCTGCTGGTTTCCCTCCTCACGTGGGTTGACGTATGTTTTGAGATGCCGTCATCTCATTCCTGTTGTGGTCCTCTTTCGGACGCAATGTGCCAACACTTCCTCTTTGCAGCATCTTATCTTGTCCTCACTACTACTGAGGCGGATATAAGTTGCATACCGCCATTTCGTCGCATGAGGCTGCTCTCGAAGATCAGGTGACATTTGTCCCAAGGCAGGATCGAACTTTGTTCCTCTCTGCATTGGCCGATTTTTTTTTCCCAGGACCGAGAGATGCCATTCTGCGACGAACCCCCTTCCCACGCCATTAAGTTGAAGAGATAAAGGGAGCGTACCCGCAAACGCGAATACACGGGGCTCACGAGTCTTCAGATAACATCAACCGCTATACATCCCGCTAGGATAGGGCAAGGTCCAAAAATAGCGAAACAGTTTGAGAGGGACGTGAGAGAAGGGCTGGCGAGATGCAAGGTTTTCTTGTGACAAGTCCCAGTGATAAAGAAGCATCTTGAATGCATTGATACGATGGGTTACATCAAGGGCACACATACAAACGACGGGGCTACTTTCTGTGGGCGCCTGTCCGCACTTCTCTGGGTTGGAGACATATGGAGAACTGGGTTTAGGCCACGGATACCCGTACGCAAAGGAACTTGGGATGGGAGTAAAGGGAGGCAAAGGGGCCTGTGGGAGGTGTTTTTTTTTTATTATCCTTTTTTTTGTGTATGTGTGTGTGTGTGTGTGTGTGTCCGGTGTGGAAATTAATGCCATGATTAGCCCATTATGGGCCTTGAAATACGGAAGTGGAAGGAGAGGGATAGTGTCTGCTCTTTCTGGCAGAACACCTTGGTCCGTTCTGCTTCTCGCGTTGTAATATTTATCTCTTTCGGCTGCCCTTTTGTCACTGGCCATGAGGGAGCGGAATCAAGAGATGACAAGCGAACATGAACGATATTTCGAGTATGAAAGAAGAAGAAAAAAAATCAGATTTCATACCATTGAGCTCGGCGGTTTGACAATTATGTGACGCGTCATGGTAAGGTCAACTGAGGTTCAAATTAGGTTCGGAGGTTCGCGCGGGGGGATGTAAAGTAATTACCTTACGGGGCCGGTGGTCGATTACAACTTGCTGCTGGGTGAGTGGTCTTAACGCGTTTGAAGCATCCGGTTTAGGTATCATCCTGTTCGATGATCGACTTGAGGAAACCCCTGGGAGAAGTAATCAGTTCGAATATCAAAACGTTTTGAGGAAAAAAGGGGGGGCGGAGGGCGACAAAGGAAGTAGTAGCCTGGTGAGGATGGATGCCCACCGAAAACCATACATACTTGACCTTGGGAACTTGACCTCTTCAGCTTCCCAGATACACTACACCATACCTGTGACCTAGCTTCCTTTTTTGTCGTTAACAACGAAAATTGGGAATAGGACCTGTGACTCTCTCGTCGTCATTTTTATTATCAGTGACGATAGCAGACCGACAAACTCGTTGAAATGGGACACTGTTGGAGCTGGGGTTGGGAAATGAATTTCAGAAACCCCAGAAACCCAAAATGCGTGATCGGCATCGGTCCTTCCTGGGAACCCTCGAGGAACTGAAAAGCTTCTGATTTCCTTTTTTATATGGAAAGACTTCGATGGGTTTCTCTGTGCTTGGGTCACGTCAGCTCTTCAGTCAGCTCGTCGGGGTAAGGTTTAGATAGATAGTGGGGCTGAGGGGGGGGATCCATCTAAACCCCAAAACTTGCTGATTTTCTTCCAACCAGCTTCTTCCAAGTTTTCAGCTCTTTTTTGGGGGGGGAGGAATTCAGTCAGGCAGGCAGGGGCTGTGCGAGTTTTATGTAAAGAGGAATGGAATTTGCGGCTCCGGACTCGGGTTCGTAACGGGATCGGCATACATAGGGGGGTGGGTGGTGGGAAGTTAGTACAGACGGGTCCCCTGTTCCAGCAACCCCAAAAATCTGGCTAAAGGGGTTGTTCGAACAGGGGGGTTTGCTGGAAGTGGTGTCGTGCACAGACCACTTTCCTTCCAAACCGCCTAAAAAAATGCACCAAAACTGGCATGCCAAGCCAATTTTCCCTTATTGCGGACCCCGTTTTTCCGATTTACCATATAAATTAACAGCAAATTTGTCTCTCCGGGGTTGCTAGTTGTCCGGTTGCGCTTACTAGGCAAAAAATGCCAGATTTCGCCATAGGGGTTGCTACAACAGGGGGGGTTGCTCGTACTGGGGGTTGCTTGAACAGGGGACCTGTCTGTATGTAGGGTGGGAGCGGGGAAAAAGTGCGGCGGGATCCTCTTTTGACGACATCAATCGATGTGTGTCGTTCGTTCGTCCGAAAAAGAACAGACGACACGTGAAACCTAATCTTGACGACCAACAACGGGACGTACCGAGGAGGAAAGGATGGGATGAACGATTAATTTAAGCTTTTTTTTTTCTTCTTTTGTTTTCCGAGAATTTAATTTTTTTTTTTCCTTTTTCTTTTCTGGTCTATCCGCTTTCCACATATATTTTTTTTTTTTTTTTTAATTCCCACGTTTTTTTTTTTTCCACATTTCGCGTTTCAATAGTTCCGGGTAACTATTGACTAATTTATCAAATCGTGATCGTCATCCGGTCTTGCCGTTTGTGGGGTTACCGACCGACCGAACCGGACGAACCTCCGGGAATATCGCAATGTACCATGTAGTAGTAGTGTAGATAGGGTAGAACATCCCGAACGATCCCCGGATGCAATCAATGTGCATGCCAGTGAAAAGAGCGTGCCAAATGCCTGCCTAGCTCGAGCCTAGTATAGAATGGCATGGAACAATGAACTGAAATGAAATTGACATACGTAGATACATCCGAACTTGTCGCTGAAACCGTCCGTCACGATTCAGGAAAACCGACGGTGTCCAATGGTTAGTGCAACTTGCCAGTATTCTACACACACAAGAGCACAAAACACAACTTAAACGAACGAAAAGCTTGATTGATACATTAAAGCCACACACACACACTCACCAAGCCACTCTCGCCCACCTTCCCCATGCGCACCTTAAAGAACATATCTCCCGCCTAGACTAGCACTTACCCTAAGCTGTCCATTCTCAAGTCTGGAAAACAGCACTCACTACATACAGTACCGAACTCTATATTAAATGCTATAGATGAAACGCCATAGGCTGGCCGGTGTGGCGAGGGTGGTTGTCTGCCTTTGTCCGAACCAAACCGCAGGAAGTACCCTCGAACGAGGGTTTGAAGTAAATAACTAACATATTCCTGTCATAGTTACAAGCACCCCATTTTAATTCCCCTGCGAGTATGGATACATATGGTGGTGCCCTGTCGGGCGGGCTGCCCAGTACCGTTGCCGTACCGAACCGAGCCTAATATGATACCGGTCCCGGCTAGGAAGTTGGATATCCATTCCGGTAGAGGTAGGTACCCTTAAAATTCTAGACATAAGTACTTGCCGTTACCGGTATTCTTCCTTGTGTCGTGGGGTTGAGATGTACATGTATGCCGTAATGCCGTATCAACTGCCGTGTAATGAAGTGACGGGAACATGGCAAGACCAGTCCGGGAGAACTACCGAATGAACAGGAGTCGAAACCTAGTACAAATCTTAGATGAAGATATACTGCATAGCAGTATGTAATAGTCACCAGTCACACTACATGCGGAGCTGCCGTCGTGGTGACTCATAGATAGGGAAACCACAAGTGGTCGAAGAAAGATATTACATTTGCCTTCTATGCTTGCTTGGTGACATTTTAGACATCGTCAAATTGTCCACTAACGCTGCCTGACAACCCCCTTCGTTACACACACACACACACAACTTGTTACTACTAAAGCCAGGCGCGAAGCGAACCCTGCGGTTCGTTCCATGAGTTAAAGATGCACATGCAAGAAACCTCCGTCCCACCACCCTATCCCCTCCTTTATCCTATCTTAAACGCACGAATTATCGGATGCCTCCCTCCTTCGTAGTAGAAAAACTCCAATTGCATCTTTTTGACCGTCCTTTGAGTTTTTGATACCCTTCCTTCCCTGGCTTTCACCTACTCCCCACCACCCAAAGCAACGTTGCCGACCCAGTTAGTCCCTTCAATCAAAGGGCTGCTCCACTTATATTGTCTTCTTGCCTCGTCATCATCCTCAAAACTTTCACAGCCCTTTTGTGATCTTTTCACTGTCTCTGTCTTTCGTCACCCAAAAAAATATAGATAGCTAAGGGGGTATCGTATCCGCGCATGTACCGTTCGAAAAGGGATGAAATGTTTGTTGTTGGCGCTTGTCGTGTTACATAAGAAAATAGATGGGGCGATTAGAGGCTGGCCAGGTAGTGAAGGTAGTTGTTGCTTGGAGCCATAGGACCATGCAATTGCCAACACTTTGTCCTCCTCTTGCTATTCACACACACACTCTCTCTCTTTTTCCAGTCAGACCCCGGACGGACTCGCAGCACTTCATAAATCATCAGTACATTCCATCACCAGGAAAGCCGCCTCGTGAAGAATTGCCCGGGTTGAGCGCGCCTTGACTCGTCGTTGAAGAACCTGCGTCGCTACTAGGGGTGGCAGGCTCGACAACTCTGTTCCTGATAGTCATGATCCATTCATGCTGCAACAGCTCCATGGCAGTTGCGCGCTTGGTGGAATCCCGCAAGAAACAGCGTCTCAGAAAATCGATGCCCTCAGGGCTGAGCTGGTCTTGGCTGGGTAGCTGGGGCGGGTTTCCTTGGGCGATATTGTACATGATAGCCCACTCGTTGTCCAGGTTCGCCCATGGCCTTCGGCCAGTTGCCATCTCAAGGATGACACAGCCAAGAGACCATATGTCAACCGCTCCAAAGTGACCGGCATTCTCACCCTTAATCACTTCGGGCGACATGTACATGGGTGTACCTGTCATCGACTTGTTGGGCTTGGTGCTGGCGATGTCTTGTACTAACGTCCGTCCCTGGCGGGCGATGAGTTTGGCCGCACCAAAATCGACATACTTGATTATGCCGTTATGATCGAGGAGGATATCTGTTAATACGCAGTTAGTACAGAACAACTAGGCAGAAAAAGCAACTGTAAAGCAAACTTACTTTCTGGTTTGATATCACGGTGAGCAATCTTGAGCTCATGAAGGTACGCAAGACCTTCGAGAAGTTGCAACGCGTAAACCATGATAACTTGTTCGTCCTCGATTCTGCCATGCTCCAACAAGTTGGCAAGAGAGCCTCCGGAACAAAACTCCATGAACATGTACACGCGGTCTCGATGGACCTCGATACCGTAGTAAGAAACTACATTGGGATGGTCGACCGTCTCCAGAACCCGCATTTCATCCCTGATCTGACCAGCAATAGTGGGGATCAGTTTAGGATCTTGCAGGCGAATCTCCTTCACGGCCATCAGCTGGCCGGTATCAAGGTTTACAGCCGCGTACACGTTGCCGAAAGTTCCACCGCCCACAAAGTGACCTTGCTGCCATCTCATGGTGAAGTTGGTCGCTGTGGAGGAGAGCCATGCAAGCGACCGATCCACCTCGTTAGAAGCCTCCAAGACTCTGCCCATGGCAGATTGTTGCAGTAGGATCTCCTTTCTGTAGTTGTCGACTTTTGCCAACTCTTCGAGGCGGTGTTCTTGGTAGTACTTGGCTGCTTCGTTGTCATCCAACATCTGACCTTTGTTCAGACGCTTGATCTGGTTGACGAGTCCCTCCAAGCGCTTCTTCTCCGCCTGGGCGGCCACGCTGGATCTGGCACCCATGATGTCGAAATGAGATATCAGAAGCGCCATGCACCCGGCAACCTTGGCCCTCAATCTTGCATACTCGTCTTCTCCGAGGCCGAGAATGTGTCTTCCACGCGTCATTCCCATGGCAAACTCCAGGGCCTGCACGGCCCAGCGGAAGGTTTTCCGGTCTGAAGAGATGCAGTCGTCACAAATGAAGCTTACCCAGTCCAAAGCAAGCTTGGTGAGTTTCAGGTTATTCATTGTGCGTCGATTGTTGTCCATGTACAGCAAAGACCGCTGGCCGAACTCGGTTGCAAAGATGAAGCATGTCTGGATTAGTTCTTGGCAATTGAGACCTCGTGTTTGTCGTCGGATGGCTTCCACACTGTCCATGAAAGCGTTCGAGAGCTTGAAGGCAACCTTGCGAATCTCCATGAGCCTGAAGTTGACCTTTTGCAGGTTTGACCTCTGCTCTACCACTGGGTCGACCTGCATATCGATCCTGTCGACAAAGGCCTTGCGCGCATTCAATAGTCTGGGTTGGCAGCCGCCGGCAATGAGTCGCATGTGCCCCAACTTGATGTCCAGGGGCTCATTGCGGACTCTGAGAGTGTGGACGGGCCCGAGCCACTGAGGTGGATCTTCGGCTTTAATGATGAGAAGGTAGGGATCCGATGGGTCCTCAATAGCGGCCTCATATGTGAAAGTGCCCATCAGCACTTGGATCTCATCGTCGCGGTTATGAAGTGTCGGGGAGGCAATGATGAGTATGTCTTTGTGTTCAGGACTGGCACTATAAACCTGGAAATGGCCCGTCTCTATCAGGCGGTCGTACAGTTGGTGGAGCATTTGAGGCTGCTCAAATGCGATTGTGTAATCGCATGCATTTTCATAGTTGTCGCTCAACATTCTAGAGAAACGCTGCAGCATTCGCTGCCGAACCCGAACGGAGTCTAGGATCTGTTTATATCGCTTGGTCATCTCAGCCACGCTTTCTTTTGGCCTTCGTTGAACCTCCTTCTCAAAAGTCTGGCTCAGTCGGTTCCAGGCTTTGTAGGTTAGAGAACTGAACTGTTCCGCGACTTCCACATCGCCGTGTGCCAAGTAACGCCCGATTTCGTTTCCAAAACCCCACTCTTGGAATAGCAGTTCGGCCTCCTTGAAGGTGTTCTTGTTGCCGCTGAGCTTCCAGTTCAACAGTTTGAAGTAGTACTTGAGCGCCTCCAGGATGACGCGGTCGAAATCCTCATCGATACATGGGGGCAAGTCCCAACCGGGCTCCGGTCGAGCGATTTCCATGTACTCGCGCTTGATTTTGATGGCGAGCTTGAGAAGAACTTGAAACTGCGAGATCATTTGATCCTGCATCATGGGGTTTTGTTGTGCCGAGTCCTTCATCTTCTTGGCATAAGCCAGCCGCATCTTGATGATCTCCTCAATGAGGCGAGAAGGGAAACTGATAAGGGTGAGCAGCTCCTCGATATAAGGCGGGAGATGGCGCTTCTGGAAACCTTCGGCATTTTGAATAAGTGTGTCCTTGGCCTTGGTAATGACACGAGAAATGCCGTCGAGTCGGCTCTTCTTCTTTAGGCTTTTCGGTTCGGAGCCTTTGTCTTCGTGTAGTGACTTGAGACCCTCCTCCTTCATGAGACGATCCAGGAAAGATGATTCATCGCTGAGACCATTCCCGCTGGGCGATTTTTCCTTGGTGCGGGAGAAGTCGAGAGCATCGTTGCCGACCCACTTTTTCAAGATCGACAGCTCTGTGTTGATCATCTCATTGACGTTGTACCATGATATCACTGCGTCGCAGGTCTCCTGATAGGCCGAATAAACACCAGGCTTGAGGGCGGTCATGAGTTCCCTACTGGACGGGTAGAGGCTCTCGATTCTTTCGATTTTGTTAACCACATCGCGAACCTGTTCAAATGGCGGCTTCCCTGCCTCGCTCTCTCCGGCAATCGCAAAGTTGATGATGTCGTTAATGGAACGGTCCAGCGCTGCACGGGCATCTTCGACGACCCTTTTCTGGACTGGCAGGTGTCTACCACATAACCTTGCCCGAATCCCAAGCCATAGCTCTACATTGTGGGCTGATTTTCCAAAGGCCTCATCATTGGAGCCAATGAGACGTTTCTTCTCTTGCCGCACAACATCACCGGTGAGCACAGCCTCCAGCATGCCGTGCCATTCTAGTCTCTCGCGGCTCTCCGGATCTCTCAGGTCTTCCTCGGTAATCTGAATATCCTCGTTACTGGCGAACATGATATGCGCATCATCGTAGCTGTCGAAGGCGCCCTCGGAAGATGGCGTCTCGCCTTCGGAATCGGAATCGTACTGCTCGCCGGAGCCGTAGGCGTCGAAGTAGTCGTTGTTGTAGTCCTGTTGTCGTAATCTGCGCACATATTCTCTCTCCTGGGCTCTGAAGGTTGAAGTGCCGGCCAAGGGGCGTGGTCTGGAGCCATCACGGGCGTGGGGATTATTCGCTATATAGGACGAAGGCTGACCTTGTGGGGGCCTGCGCTGGTTGTAGGGCTGATAAGTGTTGGAAGGCGTCCTGGCAGGGGCGGTTGGGCGCTGTGGTCGTGACGGAGTCCCATTGGCATAGGTCTCTGAGCTAGCACCGCGGCGACTGCTCGATCCATTGGTCAGGGGCAGGGAGCTGGTCAGGGACCCGGGCACCAGAGAAGGCACCGAGCCAGAATGACTCTCGACATATCGACTTAGAGAACCCAGCTCGTCAATCTGCTCTCGGACGTGGAGATCATCGTGGGCGTCCGTTGAGGAATTGGAATTATCCGAGTCGTTGGCACGGGGGTTCGGTCGGGACACGGTCTTGTGCTTGTCGAGCCGGGCAATCGGCTCATCGTCCGTCTGCGAGAAGCGCACAGCACGGGGAGAAAGCTCGCTGGCCATGGTAGGTTGAAGGGATGGAATGAGGGGTTAGATGGTCGATTGTCAGCGGATGGTCGTCGACTGTTTACCGCCCGATGCGATACGAGGCTGTCCGTCCCGGAGAGGTCGGTCGCGGCCGCGGTCGATGGCGGTGTCGATGTCAAGTTCGGAAGACTGGTATCAGTCAATGTCAGTGTCTGCGTCTCGTGCTCGGCGTGTGTTTCTGTTGTTGGAAATGATGGTCGTCGGAGTCGTCGTCTATCTGTTGGAGTCCTCGGTGGTCGTCGTTGTCGATGTCAAGTCAAGGAATGTATGTCTGTCTCGCTAAAGAGGCTGCAGCAAAATCACCCACTGCTTGGGGAAACAAGGCTGACACCAGGGCCCTGCTTGTCCATGGGGTGCAAGCCAGAATGAGGGGAGGGCCGTCAGAGCTCGATCAATTGATCGGGTATGTCAGCGAGCGGCGTGAACAACGGAAAACGGCTGTATCCAGTGTTTCGGGTTCGAAGACTGTCGCGGCCTGGAGCCCCTAGTGGCGGCGGAATAGGGGGAGTCCTTGCGTCGGGATGGAAGTGGATGAATGCAGCGATGCAAGCGACGTCCACGGCGGTCCCGGCCGTCGTCACCTCAAAGGTCAATTGGGACCTGGGCGCTTTCCACTTGTTAAGGTCGGGGTTAGGCAGGTCAGATAGGTAGGTAGGTACAGTACTACCACCAGAGTCCGGCTTAGTCCAGTTTGGTCCGTGCCAGGGGCAGGGCAGTGCGGTAGTGCGGTCGAGGTAAGGAGCGGGCAGTTGTCAGGCGGTCTGTCCTGTGAGGTAGCACTGGTCCCACCATAGAGATCGATATCGACAATGGGGCCGTCGGACAGCAGTAGGTGCCTGGTGTGTCGCCGACAAGTCAAAGGAGAGAAAGTTCGTGATAATAACTCTGGAGCTCTGACAGAGAAGGTGGAGAGAGGTGAAAAGTCCTACTTTGCCGAGTAGAGGTACAGGTGCATAGGGGGCAGCCCAGATCGAGGTAGGTAGGTACCAAGGTACTGATTGGGCCTTCGGCTCCTCATGGCTCAAGCTGCCCCTGTACCTTCTTAATAATCCGGGGTGGGTTTGACAGGCAACAGGAATGCAAGTTGTGGCCCGACGGCACCCATACAAGCACACTGCAGGCCAGCTCGGCGGGGGTTAGGTACGAGCGGGCAGCTAGCTCCGTCCGTCTGCACTGAATGGCACGAAAGAGCCCATAGTGTACACTAGTACAACAGTAGTGTAGCAATATCCCAACGGTGACCGACTGCCCGAAATCATTGGGGATACCTCTAGGTTGTGGAGATTGGCGGAGTCTTGGTGTTGGTGTGCTTCTCTTGGCTCCATGGTCAGTCCAGCTCGTACAGCCTTGCCTTTGTTCGCGAACCAACAGTCTCTGCAGGCCATGTTAAAGACAGTTGGGAACAGCCTTGAAATGAGGAGGCCTTACAGGTGGTAATCACGGTGCAGCGGCAGGGGGTGAAGCAGACCTCGGGAGCAACCCTGACCTGCAGCATCGTGACTTTCACCTGCCGCCTCGCTTTCTGGGCAAGAGCAGGAAGGACATTGCCCCTGGCAAAGACTGGTGGGTTGACTGGGGGTGATGCGGTCGAGATGGCTACAGTAAGGTAATTATGGCTGATCTTTGCCGGGCCCTCATCCGATCCGTCAAGGGCGCATGGCATTCTAAATTCCCTTGCTTTGACTCGATTTTGTCTTTCTACTTGCTTCCTCCTGGCAACGTCGAGAAGGCCGGAAATGAGATGACGAATGGAGGATTGAGTTCTGTGTGCACTAACGATATGATGCGTTCTAACCAGGTTTGTGGTTTTCGCCCAGATAGGCAATAGGAAATTGTCTAGACCTGGATAACGATCCCACGGTTTGGTAGCCAGTCATTGCCAGTCCCGGTCGCGCAAAAAGCAAAACACGTGCGACAAGGCTGGCCGGGCTGGTAGTGCGTGAGCCCTCCACTTCAGAGCCGGAGTCTCCCAAAAGCGCCCAAGATCTCAATTCTGTAGGGGAATCGGACATTGGACCCGGCCGACATGATCGATCGGGAATTGCCACCGCGTCCACCAACGCACTTGACCACAACATCGTGATCGAACCCGAGGTTGACGAACCATCTAGACCATCTTGCCATCGTATCTGCCTGGGAGATCCAAAAGAATGGGACTTCTGAATTGTCGTATTCGATATGAGCATCTTGAAACAATAGATAAAATGTAATTGACCGGCTATCTCCCCGTCCAGCGTCCGACCTTTTATTGGATCGAAGCTCTGCTGTCGTTGCTGTGGAAGAGTCGACTTTTGTTGGGTGAGATGGGAGCAGTCGCAAGAAGACTGACGGAATCCAAGCCTGCAAGCTTCTGCTAAGCCACACGGAATTGCGGAGCATGCCGCAGTCTCTTGAATGAACCAATCAACGTGATCATCTCCACATAGACTCAGTTAGTGTAGGTACATGGCATTGCGTACTGTAGTGTGTGTAGTGTGCCTCTAGCGTACTGCGTAGATGTGGCGGGAGCTTCCCTTGGGCTACATGCGCCTTAGCAGCGCACAAACCTAGGTATGACGCTTCCTTTGGCAGTTAAGCGCAACGCGTAGTTCTTAATTGGACACTTCACTGCGCGTCGAGCGCGACGGAATGGGGAACCGGCCACAAGGTGCCGACCTGAGAGGCCGACCTGACCAGGCAGGCATCAAGGCGAGACGGGCAGTACAGCACACTACTAGGTAAACTTAGCAACGAGAACAGACACAGCTTTATTCGATTCCCACGGATTTGCGCACCCAGTCATTGCGTCTTCATCCAAGTCGCCATGTCCATCATCACTACGAGGAGTTAACAAACAACAACATTAATGGCGAACATATTTAGCATATCGATATGTCCTCTTCGCTTAGACGCACTTCTGGCGCGTCGCGTCCAACTTCATCCAGATCTATATCTGCACCGACGCCATCCTTAACGGCCGCAACAGGACTACCGTTTCCAGCACTACCTGCATCACCTGTCAAACAACCTTCGCCTACAAGACAAAGTCAGGCTTCCTCTGATGGCAGAAAGCGCAAGAGGGAGGCAACAGGCTTCTCTCAAGCGGGAGATGGGCTTTTGAAGGCTTCTGTTGTGCTCAGGGTATGTTTGCGCCTTTCTGATGTCAACTCGCTTTCTCTTTATGACTGCAAGGAACTGACCGTCCATTGTCTTCCCAGCCACATCCTTCCACCCCGACCGATAAGCCGCGCATTCTATCACCCTTGATGCTTCTTCCACGAGAACACTTGCCTCTGTCTGCCCTTGACCTTCTTCAACCGCAGGGCGATTTCCCTCCCAGCCGCTTCTACGAATCGCGTATCAAGATCTTGGACCTTGAAGGTCGATTGGGCTCAAACATTCTTCTTGCCCGATCTGAGGCCAATCGCATGCTATATGCGATTGAGCGGGAAAGCGATGGTCTATACACACTATGCAAGCTTGGATCATGGGTTGACGTTGATGTTTTGGCCCAGGCCGCAACGGTCGTATCGAGCCAACGAATGAAAAGCTGCAAGCCATCGCAGCTGGAGGTTGTTGCCCCAGGGCCCCTCATCACACCACAAATGTACAAGGAGACGAAGCGTCGAAAGCTTGCGATAGAGGAGATACAGTCGTCACTCACTCGAAAGCGATCCAACACGACAACTACCGAGCAGGAGTCTTTGTCTCACCTGCCTACACCAACATCAGGGAGTCCTGAATCCAAGAGCTGTGAATCTCAATGCATCGCGGAACCAACCGAGGTACCGACAGTGTCGAACAAACCCGATCTGCCCGCTACTCTTCCACATCCTGCGGAGGACGTATTGTCGCAACCAACCGCCGAAGGGATTTTCCAAAACATCAAACTGCAATATTTTGAAGCTCTATACCATTCAAAGGGATCCTTGGCCTATTTTGCAAAGGGACCGCTCTCTAGGGCACGAGCGGCATTCCACTTAGACTGCGACTCGAACCTCGAAATGAGCCATCTCATTGACTTCCTGAGAGGTCTTGTTATGACGACAGCATTAATAGACAAGAAGTATCGGGAGACTCTCCCCGAAATTATCGGAAAAATGAAGACTATCGTGGAGGATTCCGAGCAAGGGCATGCACGGTCGAAGCCCAGAAAAAAGAGAGTAAAAAGACAAAAGCTAGGCAAGGATGGACTTTATCCGTCGGAAGAAGAGCATATCGAGCGATGGTGGGTGACTCACAAGCCGAGTACTACACAAGAGGATGAGAAAATGGTCGCGGCGACCGAGGCCAAACACCACATCTCGGCTCTGCGGCGTCGGGAGACTCAGCTGCAAATGATCATAATACTCGAGATACTGGCTCTTGAGCCTTTGAACAGACCAGTAGTAGCTACAGAGGACAACGAGTTGCCGGGCTTGGAAACGCAAGAAACAATAGGAGGCACCAAATCAGAAGGAAACAAAAAAAAGAACAAAACGGCCAACTTGCCGCTGTTGCTGGATATGCATGCTGATCGTCTCTGCATTTGGCAGAGCACAACTTTAGACGAGGTCAAGGCATTGACAGAATCACCGCCCTCTGCTGAGGAACAAGAGGCGCCAGCAGAGAATAATAATTCAGATCCTTTACGAGATTTCTGTGTCGACATCATCGTCCCCTTGTAAGTCATGGCCCATTTCCGTCTGAATAACTCGGATGCTGATAAAACCACGACAGTTTCTCTGCTCGTCTACCGGAGCTCTGCGATTCCATCAACCGTAAGCTAGGCGGTCCGGTGATACAAGCTCCCAAAGAAAAGGCGAAAACAGTTGCAGCAACCAAGCCAAAGCCTGGGGCCCCTGGGAAACGAGTTGCAGCTACTAAAAAGGAGAATGAAAGAACTCTTCAGCGCGTGCTCTCCAATGAGCGCATGAGACGAAGTGTCTCAAGGGGTCCGTCTGGGACGATCGCACTGCTGCGCTCGGCGAGTGCAACTGCAATCCCGGGCTTGAAAAGAGAGGGTAGCGAGCCTCTGCTGGGGATGATACCCAAGACCGAGGCTGTAGCGGTCAAAGAGAAGAACGTTTCCATATTCTCGCGGAGTGCTGGGCCTTCGGCAAACAGTGAAGACGCCAAGGCAAGAAAGAAGGCTCGTCTCGAGGCCGAGCTCAAGGAGGCCATTTCTGCACTCAAAAAGCCAAACCGAGCCTTGGCTGGTAAGGAGATTGTAGAGGAGGCTGAGAGACGCACAGCTCAGCCAAAGAGTAGTAAGTAATGTTTCAATACCCATCATTATCGGGCAAGTCTAACAACCCTCCCAGAGCTTAACAAGAAGCAACCAAGAGCCGCCGGCGTGCAAATCAAGGCCACCCCAGCGAACAATCGCTTCAAGGACGTATTCGCCACAGAATCGCAGCCTCTACACCTGAATCATCTCTTCGAAGAGGACGGTCCCCCCATACCGTCTAGCGCCTCAGTAGTCCCTGCGTCTACTTTACCTCGCAAGTTCACGAATGTGTTTGCCACTTCCACTACCCCCAACATTGGCGCCAACCCATCTTCCGAAGGAGGGATTGGAACCGCACAGCTCCCGCCGCGCAAGCAAATGCAAGAGACGCCTTTAAGGAAGAAGTCCGTCCCACATATCTCGCTCCCTCAAATTGACGAGGAAGTCGAAGAGGCGACCCCGGTACCGCCGAAGAACATGGAGGGCCTACATGTTCAAGCAACGCCAATGCGCAAACAGCGATTTACACAGCAGAAACTACCAGTACCTCGCCCCGAGGGGCATCTACAGGTACAAGCAACAACAACACCTCAACGAAAACGAGCCATTCAAGGAACACCTATGCGCAAGGAATCTCTACAGTCACTGCCTCAGATCGTAGAAGAAGACGATCCCCTAACCCACAGCATCCCTTCGTCCTCTCCGATCTTCGCAAAGAGGTTGACGATCGCGTCCCCGTTTAACAGGGCCGCTAAGCAGCAACAACAGCAACACTTAGTCCCTCCAACACCCCTTGGCAACCGCTCCGGTAATGAAGGAGCTGCGATGACAACAGCGGATTTCCCTCCCTCCTCCCCTGGGTTCGCATTCTTCGAGACCCCGCTGAACAACGCAAAGACGAAGACAGCCGTGTCAACCACCGCCGCCGGCGGCGTTGTTGATGACACCCCCATCAAGTCCAGACTTCCGAGTGCTTTTACCTCCATGACGACGGGGGCAGGGGGGAGTGAGAATGACCGCCCATTCGGCAGCAGCAGTAGCAGTAATGGTCGTCGTGCTAGCGGCGGTGGCGGTGTTGGAGGAGTTACGAAGATCAAGAAAGAGCAGAACAACTCGCCGGTTAGTATATACCAGCGCCTGGGCTGGGATGATACAGATGATGATTTGGCATGAATTCCTGAGGGGGGATATATATGCTGTGGAGCGTGGTTCAAGACATTTTTCATATACCCATACCCAATACAGCAATTACGTACATTCAGCACGTTTCAGGGGTTAGAAATCAGAAGGGAAGGCGAAAGAGCTGCATAAAGATAGATGATAACTATACGAATATATGAATATCAAACACCTTGTATCATGGCATCTTCATTTTTAAGCTCCATGACGTTCTAGTAAGCATCCGTCTGTATACGGATGATGGGGCTCAGGGTATCTTCCTCTACTCTCCAGCCCACCGCTCTCCCTTTTCTTTTCCTTTTCTAGCCGTAGTGCAAAACCTCATCAGGGCTCCCCCATCCCCAATTTTCCTCCCCAAGCTCACTACTCGTCTCCCAGGACCGACCAACTGATTATGACTAATCACTATCATCATCAAGCGCCTCGTCCTCATCCGGCGGTCCCGCCCTCTCCTCGTCATCCTCTTCCTCTCCTTCTCCTTGTTGCCCATCCTCGTCCTCCTCATCTTCCTCCTCATCCTCGTCCTCTTCCGCCTCTTCCTCTTCCTCATCCTCCTCAACCTCTTCATCCGGAACCGTCTCCGCATCCGACGGATCTTGGTCTTGTTCTTCTCCGTCTACTTCCATCTTTGATGATGACGTATCCACCTTGGCCTTCTTGGCTGACCTAGGTCCAGCTTCTCTGTCTGTTGTCGATGTCGTCGTCGCTGTTGCTACGCCGGACGCGGCGGAGGACTGGTTTCGGTTTTGCTGATTGCTACCGCTGTCGTCGTCGCCGTCGCCAACAGCTCGCTCGTGTGATTCGCCGCCTCCTGGTTCGTTGCCGCCGCCGTCACCGCCGCCGGCTGCGCTGCCAGGACCACCGACACCGGAACCGGAAACGGAACCGCCACCTCCGGCCTTTTTGGCTGCGGCTACTTTTTTGCGGTAGACTGATCGTTTGGAAGTTTGGATTTCGTTGAATTCTGTTGTTTTTTTTGGTGTAGGCGGTTAGTACATGTTGTAGATACGCTACTATGAGCCTGGGGTTCCGTGGATGTGCACAGGCTGGGGAACATGGCGAAGGAAGGGGGGAAGAAAAGATATGAGGGACAAGGAGGAGGTATCAGGGGTATGACGTACTCGCAAACTCGGCCTCCAACTTCTCCCGCATGAACCCGTACTCAATCTCGTCTAGAGCCTTGAACACGTCCGCTGGCATGATGGTTTTCTTTCCTGATGAGACGGTATGTTCGTTTGCACTGGTAATTGTTGAGTCCCTTCAGTCAGCGCCAGTGTCAAAGTGAATATAATGGAAGGGGGGGAGCAGTCTCCCTCGTCCTCCTCCTGGAGCCTGCATGCAGAAAAACATACGCATTGGCCAGATGGCTGATAAACACTGTCGCGCTCTTGGTCATAGCCAGAATCGCATTTGCCTGTATCTGCGTATTCGAAGGCAACACCCCCTTGGCAAGACGGGTGATGATCGATTTCGGAAGCGTGAGATCTTCAATTGTGATGGCATCGCGCTCCTTTTCCCTTTCCCTTTCCCTTTCCCGTTCCTTATCCTTCTCTGATGCCCCTCCTCCTCCTCCTCCCCGCTTAGACTCTGATGGTGATGTTGGTCCTCCTCCTCCTGCTGCTGCTGATCCCGTGGTTGACGAGGCGCGGCCGGCAGCGGCCGCCGCCGACGCCGATGTCGAAGGTGCTGGGGTAGACTGCTTCTCGGAGGTTGTGGGTATAGGTGGAAGACGTTCATCCCGCTCGATGGCGGCCGCGGCGAGGGCGGAGGCTGGGTTGGCAGAGAGAGCTGGTTCGCCTGTGGCCATTGTCGTGTCTTCGTCGGCTATGACGAAGCGTGCTACAGAGACGTCGCTGCGCCGAGTACCGTCGGTCTTTTTCGGTGGCATTGTGACTTGGTAGTTTGAAATTGTTTAATGGAGGGGTACGTCGATGGTGAAATTCGGGACGAGCTGTTCACAATGACGGTAGTTGTGGATTCTTGTAGTGGTTATCTTACGAAGAAACTGGGTAGAGGGGTTAAATGTGCTGAAGTCCCAGTGGACGTTGGGAGTGCAACAATACTTTGCGATTTCCAAGAATGACTTCAACTGCGACTGGGGGCATGGGGGAGGAGCATTGGATGGGATGGGATGGAGAAAATTGCGGCGCGTCACCCGAGGAGGACGCGTTAAACAACTAGGGACGTTAAAGTGAAGGGTGTTAGTGGCGCACGAGCCAATGTCTGTTTCTCCTGAAAATAACCCTGAATGGCCTCGAGTTGGCCCAGACACTTTGTTCGCGCGAAACCTCTGGTCAACTTGCCTGGGCGTTTCAAAACCGAGGTTATGCATTCTATCTAAGCCAGTTGGCATCGCTGAATGTATTTGATTTTGGAATAAATATAGATGATGCATTTCATCAGCTGCTTTTGCCTTTGCAAGTGTCCTTGCAGCAGTTAAGAAAGTCTCTTTCGAAGTACCGGGCTAACACATAAATCAGCACAAGACTGTAGCTTCGACAACTATCGTGAGGGCCTATCTCTCACCCTTTTCCTCTTCACGTTCAGCAGTTTAAATACATGAAGCGATCAAGCCAGGATAAGGCTCCCCGTCTAGACGCAATTGATTTTGATCGAGTCTAATTCTGGGGCATATTCATAATCATGTTATCTCTCAGCCACTCGAAATCTCGTGTCGTCCTACTATCACCGCTTTTTTCACACTCACAAACAACCACATGGTTAAACCTCACCACAAATAACGCCCTCGATATACCTTGATCATACAAAGTAAACCCAAAGACCCGCGGCATACATAGTCAATTAAAATTGTATTTGAATTGACGTCCTCCTCTTCTGATGACAGTCTCCCCAATCAACCCCATGGGTGGGGGAAAGAAGAAAAAAGGCACGGAAATTTTGAAATAAAAATATATACAATAGAAGCAAGAACGTCTCTCAGCAAAGGGTATATCCAACATAAGTTTCCTCATTCCTAAAAAAGAAAAAAAAAAATTCGAACAGCCAGTCAAGGCTGGCTGTCTGTCATCCCGGAAGACACAACAAAAGAAAAGCAAAAAAAAAATGTTCCTGCATTTTGGCAATGAGCCAGCATTAATGTGTCCAAGGCATAACTAGGCCTCAGATCCAGAGAACTTTTGTAAACTGAGTAAGGTAGCTTCCAGCACCTCGGTGTGAATTGGTCGATCATGGATCTGTAGGGGGGAAAAAATGAACATGGCTTTCCAGCCAGCCGGAGATGGAGATGGAACTGGAAGAGAGAGTCAAAGCGTAGGCAATAACTCAAATCACCCAATGGCCCGTCCGATTTCTTCTTCTCTCAAAAACTGTCTCCTTGAAAGCGCATCATCGCCAAGCGACAGCCTCGGAGGAACTGTCACTCCCGACTGAAGACGTGAATGGTGCATGCTACGGGTGCGAGCGTGGTCGATGGAATGTCGCCCAGGAAACCCCTTTCCTGTATCGGATGTATAGCCTCCGCCTCGGTAGTATGCCGCCCTGTTGTTGTTGTGGTAGTTGTTGTTGTTGTTGTTGTTGTTGTTGTTGAAGTTTGAATAACCACCTATGCTGCTGGTGCTGCTCTTGGAACTCTTCTTCCTCCCATGTCTCGGACCTGGTGATGATACGACGGCATGTGCACCTGGCGGTAGCTTGTGCAGCCGAGAGGGCTGGCGCTTGGGCGTCAGTATGAATGGAACATCGCCGGGGACCGTGTCGTCTGTGAGCCCGGCTCGGGAGTTGGGAGCCCTTGCGAGGATAGGGGTTGGTGGTAGTGGCGTGTGGTCGATGCTCGTTCTTCCATAATAGCCGCTGTGGGTGCTATGAGCGGCGGACCGAGGCATGAAGCCTTCGTCGAATGATTTCCGGGTTTCTCCAGCTGCTTGATCGTCAGGGTTGATGTAGACGATGACGCTTGCCGGCTTCTTTACCGAGCTTGTTGATGGCTGTTTCCCATGGCTGGTGTTTAAACGATCCCCTGTTGCCGATCTGCTCTTTCCCTCTACGTCGGTGTCGTCCATGGTCGTAAACCCGGCCTCCTCACTCTTTGGGATTTTCCATGTTGCAATTTCCTCATCATCGACAGGTGTAACGGTTCGCGAAAAGACTCGTATCTGCCGTCTTTTCTTCCTCCAGCATAGACAGAGCACAACAGCCGCCAAGGAGATGGCCACGACTGGGATGGCGCTGCTTAGGATGATGATGAGCAGCCTTCCTCCTGTGTATATGCTGGTGGCATCGTCGCTGTCGAATGGTTCTCCCCTTTTCTGATTTGTAACGGCGTCGACAAACCTCGCCAAGGTCGTGATCGGGGGCATAATAGGGACATAAAGTGACGTGTGGAGAGAAAAAGACAGATGGAAGCCGAGGACGGATTGCCGTATTTCTCATAGAAACGCGGCGCAAAAGAGAAAACCTTGCCGTTCGGAAAGTCGACTTTATGGAGACTTGAGGATGCTGCTTTCCTTGCCAGCTGCTAGAACAGCCTAAACCGGACGGAACAAAGAGCTTCGTAAGTATGACTAGCGTGAAGATGCCTGATGACAAAGATGTTAGCAGGTTTGCTCGGTCAGACTAGATTATTGAACAGATATGTTCATTAGTGCCAAATCTTTGCTTGAACTCGGACCTTTGGTCCTCGACAGTTTTTTTTTTTTTACATATGATTCACCTTTTGGCAGTTCGTAATATACAATGCTTCGCTTAATACAAGCGACGGGAAAGATTAAGGAAAGCGAGCCATGGGTGAAGGGTGGATTGGAGAAAATAAACTATGTTTTACCTTTTCAAGATGTCATTGAACTTTGTCTTGATTTCAAAGAGCAGCCCTGTATATCATAAAATTTGATTTGATGAAGCGGATCAGGAACTCGAAAGCAAGAGGAGCGGTGATGAAAGTAGCTTGTTTGAACCGTGCAGGGACAACCAGAAACCAGGAGTCGAATAACTCGGGGAGCAAACCATTGGCACCGAGGCCTTGTGGTCTGGAGTGCTTGGAAGAGAAGAGGTGAAAGAGTGGGATAAACGAGGGATCTTTGATGTTCAAACCGCTTGAAGTACAGAGCAAGCCTGATCCCCAACCAGTTGACATCCAGTGTACGCAACAGCAAGAAAGCAACCACGAGGTCGGAAGTAGGTGGCGTATCCTGTACGGTTATAGCTATCAAAAAAAACTGACAAAGACTTAGTGTAGAAAAGGAATGACCGGCATGTATATTCCCAGTCCGTGATCCAGGCGCATCAACAAAGACGGGCACTATCCCATCCTGGGCAGGAGTGGCGGGCTAGCCGGGCGGGGTGTGGTGAGGTGTGCATATTATGATGGATACCAGGTGGGTGGATGGTGATGAGCCCACCAGGAAGACTCGAGATCCTAGTACCTTGCATATCTCCCATTCCCACCCCTTTCAGGGCACCTGCAGTCCCGCCGTTTCTTTGTGGATGTGTAAACCCAACGTCGGAGTCTCGAGGTGTGTGATCCTCGACAACATCCTCGTAAAGCTGTTCAGAGGTTGTTGGTCATGTTCCCCCATGTCTGGCTTGGGCCGAGTGCACAATGGAAGCATTGCGTGTGCCACAGGCCTGCAAAGTCAGCTGCAGTGATGGTCTCGGAATGGGTGGTCAAGAGCAGACAGAGATATCTTTGGTCGTGGGATCAGACACGCCCCGCTTGAGGAGGGACAGGACAATGGCACCCTCCCGGGCACTTGACCGAGACCGGGGCGGTACGCCGCTAGGTATACCTACGTTTGTACGCAGTGTACAATTCCAAAAGCAACCCAAAAAGCCATCTCCACTCTGACTTGGGGGAATTTCACGGGACCAAGTGTGTAAACGGCTGATGATATATCAGTATCTAGACGAGTCCATTGTCAACAGCGGATGGTTTCGATGACAGATTCTCCGTGCGGCCTGCTAGCTGCGTAAATATGACAACAATGATAGCTCTAAGCAAGATGCAATCGTAGGAACACAGCAGACAACAGCCGGCTTCATGCGACCACGGCGAGGCGGCGCAGGTCACTACGTCGCACCGTCACAGGTGAGGTTATGGAAAACTTAAAGAGCTGCTACCGTCCGATTCATTATGGCGTGCTTGGGCGGCGGGGTATATTCAAAGAAGAAGAGGGGGGGTGAGCATGGTGACGGGAACTCGACGGACGTTTCAAGAAACAGAAACGAAATGGAATTATGGAGCTTCCCAGGCACTGAAACGTCGTGTTCCCTTGTTGATGACATTGCGAACCCAATGCAAGCAAAATTGTCTTTCTGCTCAATGATGTGATGTTTGCTCACCGCCTCGGAGACCTGGACCGACCGGCCAAGCGACCGACCGACTGCACGAATTATTGCTCACAGATGTCAAAAGTCGTCCATGAATGGGCAAAAGAGAGGCTTGAATCGGTGGATGACAAGAGGCAATTCCTGAAACAGCAAAATCCAAGGGCCCGCTCTCTGTCGTGGATGATGTCCATTGGCTGGTCGGCCCAAGGTGGGGGAAGAGAGAAAGCCCGCGGCCAGGCTTGGTTTCTTGCTTCGTCGCTTGTGTAGAAAGTGGGAGTATGAGTGTACGTGCTGTGCCGCTTACATACTGAGCTCAGTTGCAAGGAACAGAAATTTTGTTATCAGAGAATGATCCGGACGTGAGATGGATCCGACAGCGGTCTCAGGTTCCTTCATCCACGGCACTTCGCTTTTGTCCAGGGTCAATGCTGGGGCCCCTGCCTGGGTGTCGCTATCCGGGTACGGCATCATTTTTTGAAGTCATCGCCGGCTGATTCGGATCAAGGGACGTGAACAAAAGTTGAACAAATCTCCGAGGAACGATGGAGATTTTACCCCATCTGGCATCGGCAACCTTAACAGCCTTAGCGAAACGTCTGGGGTATGTGGGGCCAGCTCGGACGAGCTAGGCCTAATGTGGTAAGATTCTGGATTGTGCAGGCCAGGCACTGTTTCCAACTTACCCCACCGATCCACATCCGTTCCTGACTACATTCAAAGCTTCGGTCTATACCGTTACATTACCTACTAGCAAAAACATCGTCCCATTTTCCTTTCCCCATCAACTTGATAACAGGTTTTTCAGGAGATTGACATTCCGGTGTCGTGGTTATTCCCGATAAGCTTCGGGGTATTACTTCACGACACGGATACGCCATGATAAACAATTGCAAAAGGAGACACGGCTTACAATTCACCGACCGGCCTGAGCTCTGATGCAAGGGAGGGAGAGCCTCTACTGACAGAAGGAACGGGCGGCGGGCGCAGACAGAAAGAAGCAATGGAATCGATCCTGTTCCTGCATTAGCAATCGTCGCCCGCAGGAAAGCGTCAGTGTGTATTGGCCGAACCTGGCTTGTCTCAACGACATCCTTTGTCCCCCCGCGCTTACGGATCCCATCTGGGCAAAGATCGTTGGTCCCATTGTTGTGCAAACGTTACCTTGTGCTCGATACAGCTCGGGTCAGTGTACGCTTGGAGTGGATGTTGTTTGATCCGCTGCATGCTTACATACCCCATCTTCTAGGTGGTTCCATTCCCCAAAAGTTTGTTGGTGATGTTCTCTGAACCTGGCTGCATGATAACATAACATTTAAGCATTCCCATTCGGCATTCACACGGACTCAGGTTCGACAAACTCACAGTTAAACGTTCCTCCTGACCGGCTGCTGCTGTCACAAGTCACATCCCACCCACAAGTTACACCACCATTGAAAGGGATGCAAAGGATTTAGTGGGGGCGTAATGGGGTAAGTTTGCACACATCAACATGCCCAAATCTAGCGAATGGCTGTTGTCGATTCCCGGGACAAACTCGAATCACTCCGCCGGTCAAGGTGATCTTTGCGCGCGGTACTGTGTTCTAGACGCAGTCATTCAGTCTCACCACAACCTACATGCGTTGGACTGGTAACTTGAACGTGGATGGCGGAGGCTCCGATCGACTGGTGTCTATCCCGCAAGGTTGAAGTTTTGAAAAACCTAATTGCCCCTGACGAGTTGCATATGGCGGTCCTCTTGATGCCGAAAATTGTCCCGAGTAATAGGATCTCTTTTCAGTTTACAGACTATCGTTGTTTTCGATGAGGCTTGCAACTCATCCTTCGAAACAGCACATGACGTTTTCTATGGTTTGTTGGTTGTCAGATTTCTCTGCTGGTTATTGAAGCCCAAGATGGATGGTTGAGCAGTTACTCCTGCAATTATACATCCAGCTCCTGTTAGCCAATTATCAAGCTTACCCGTTATTCCCCTCTTCGACCGACTATGTGGCACCGGGCCGAGCCATAGCCCATAGCGACCAAGTTGATCAGTTTGCTTGCACTTTACCAATCAAACACATACCTGGACGGGAAACCCTCCGAAAGAACGACTGCGGCTGGGATCCCTGCGACTGTTTCTGCGTGACGTGGTCATAATCGAGAGGTCTAAAGAAGCGAGCTTATGAGCCAACCAGACGTCTCAGACGCCATCTCACGTTGTCGATTCGCCGTCTCGCCTCTTTTTAGCCTGTGCCTTGTGACGGCAAGCCTGTCAGGGCTGAACAAGGTGGTCTTTTGGTCCATGCTTCAGGCTTATCGTCAACCATTATAAACACCATGTGGTGATGGTGGGGTTCGGGTTTCAAGTGGTCAAGTGGTATTCAATGCCGGCCTCGTCTTATGGCGACGGCCAATGTATAGGTAACGACCCTGGTCTGAAGGGCTCGGGAGGGTTGGTGAAAGGATCTTTCTGCGCAGTGATTCGTCGTGGGAGTGATCCGCTTCACACCCTCTCGTTGTACTATCGATGCACTATCTTCTCGTGAAAGCAACACAAAAGAGTTCAGTATCAAGGACTAGTCCGGGGTTTGTTTCCGCTGTCGCGTCGGATTCAATTGTGAGGGCTGGTACTGAAATCTGTTTTGAGAGGACTGGACTTTGGAAATCGCATATCAACTGCTAGAACGACTAACAAGGAAATGTCAGCATTACGGTCAGCATGCAGGGCATCCAGGCCTCTGAGCATCCTCGAAGAAGCAAAGAGGTAACGAAGGAAGTGTGTAGAGATATACCTAGTTGGAGGTAGTGTAGAGCATTGATAATTCTAGCAGAGGCACTCCACTAAATTTATGATCGAATGCTGTACTATTTATTCAACTTTCATGAGAAGAGGAGAAGGAGGTTCACATCGTGAGGTCCAGATTGTGGTTCCCATCTTCACGAGTCAGACACTTGCATGATGCCGCAGGTATGTGCTGCTCCAGCGGACCGCCCCCGGACTACAGTGGAGCTAGAGGGGAAGGGGCAGGTGTCACCAGTGCTCCACCTCCGAATTCATGAACATCGATCACAGTTTAGAGTCTCGTCAACGGAGAATCCATCATTCTTTTTTATTTCCTTGAACACATTTTGCTCTGCTCATGAAATTCCCTCCTTGAATTTGAATCTTCAACTCTGACCATATTTCATTGCAAAGCGCTCTGATGACAGCGTCTATCTCCTTTGCAATGGTCTCTGGCACCGACGATTTTCAATTGTATGGGGCGAGGTATTACTGCACCTGCTATCATGTAGTTTCGTATTTCGGCACAAGCAAACCCGGTGCCTCCGAGAACCGGCTTTCGAACTTTTAGAAGAAAAGTAAAAACCTTCCAGACTGCTTCAATGCAACACGCTGACTGAGGACCGGAGCTGAAGTTGAAGTGCCCTGTGAAGCTCGGCTTCTAGTCGAACGATAAGATGATAGCCGGAGGGCAGTCGGCGCCAGCACCCTTGTTATCGGCTTAGCATTCAAACAGCGCCCCTGCTTAAATGAAGTGTTGGCCAATGAGAACGCCCCAAGGCCCCGCACGAGAACGTCAAAAGGTGAAGGCGTTGCAGCTTGATATATCTAAAGCCGTCGCAAAGCGATGCGTCAATCGCAGAACCTGGCTGGATTGGTTGGCAGGGATGACAGGGGCGGGCTGAAGGCATTCATACAGGAAACACAAGCAGCCGTTTGTGAGGGGAAGACGATGATACATGGTTTCCAAAGGCCGATGACGGAATGGTCCAACTGTACTCTTAATTCAACTCCAACCTCCGTCGTCGAATCTTCAGTTTTACATATAACTGTTTCCTCTAGGCAGCTCCAGCTCGAGAGTCCAACGTCGACATTCCTATACTACAGTACTGACCTGAACAACGGCAGTTCCGATCCTGTGCAACTGTCTCCCCCCCTGCACGTGGGATCTCGAAAGGCATACATACCTACCTACCTACAGAAAGAGCCGCCTAGGTCGAAAGCCAAATCAAGGTCAACAGAATGTCGGCACGGAGGCTTCAGAGGCTGTCTCTTACCACTTCGAGTGGTCTGAGATCAACTCGCACATCCTCGACTACCATCAACTCTGCATTGTTAAGGCCGCAGCTACATAACCAGAGATCCAGGACAGCCATACCCAGCATCGCCAGGACGAACTCTACCCTCGCAACCTTCAAAGTCCCTACAGTGGCCAACGAGCCCAATGTGAGTCTTTCCGGGCCTCGTATATCCGCCCTCTCTGACGATTAGCGTAGCAACACTATGCCAAAGGCTCAGAATCACGACACAAGCTCACGGAAGCCTATACGGCGCTTTCAAAGAATCTTCCTGTCGACGTTCCCATTAACATCCGCGGAAGGACGGTAAGGGTGTGCCCAAAAATGTCCATTCATCCGAAGCCGTCCGCTAACCATCGCCCATAAACGTAGCTTAGCAAAGCAGACACCAAGTACCAGGTGAACCCCGCCGATCACAAACAGAAAATAGCCAATTATGCCGTGGCAACCCCCGAAATGGTCAACCTGGCTATCAACGCCGCCTTGAACGCAAAGCCGGCATGGGAAAGCTTGCCCTTTGCTGACAGAGCGGCAGTCTTCCTCAAGGCCGCCGATCTGGTTAGCACCAAGTATCGCTACGAGTTGATGGCCGCAACAATGTTGGGCCAAGGCAAGAACGCCTGGCAGGCCGAAATCGATGCCGCTGCTGAGCTCTGTGACTTTCTCCGCTTCAACGTCCAATATGCGGAGCAATTATACGCTCAGCAACCGGCACATAACTCCCCCGGTGTCTGGAACCGTGTCGAGTACAGGCCACTTGAGGGCTTTGTCTATGCCGTCACCCCGTTCAACTTCACTGCCATTGCGGGCAACCTTCCAGGCGTGGCAGCACTGCTGGGCAATGTTGTGGTCTGGAAGCCGAGCGATTCCGCGATCCTCAGCAACTACATTCTGTACAAGGTCCTTCTCGAAGCGGGACTCCCACCCGATGTCATTCAGTTCATTCCCGGCGATCCTGAGTTGGTGACAAAGGAAGTGCTCGCGCACAAGGACTTTGCGGCTCTACACTACACAGGCAGCACTGCCGTCTTCCGCAAGCTCTATGGCCAGATTGGCGCTGGAGTTGCTGAGGGTAGGTATCGATCATATCCTCGCATTGTTGGCGAAACCGGTGGCAAGAACTTCCACCTGGTTCACAAGTCGGCCGATCTACGAAACGCTGTTGTTCAGACGGTCCGTGGTGCATTCGAATACCAGGGCCAGAAGTGCAGCGCCACTTCCCGACTGTACGTTGCCAAGTCGATTTGGCCAGATTTCCAGGAGCTTCTCATCCAAGAAACGGAGAAGTTGAAAGTTGGCCCGCCTCATGACCATGGAAACTTTATGGGCCCGGTCATTCATGCCGCCTCTTTCAAAAAGCTGAGCACGGCTATCGACGAGGGGAAGAAAGACCCAGACCTCCAGCTAATTGCAGGAGGAGAATACGACAGCTCGGTTGGCTACTACGTCAAGCCAACCATCTTTGTGTCCAAGACGCCAGACCATAAACTCTTCTCGACGGAGCTGTTCGGACCCGTCTTGACGGTCTACGTCTATGATGACTACGTGGACAGCACTACCTCTATCTATGATATCGTCGACGGAGCTACGGAATATGGGTTGACGGGCTCAATCTTTGCAAGTGACCGGACCGTTATTCGCTTCGCAGAGGAGAAACTCCGCAACTCGGCAGGAAACTTTTACATTAACTGCAAGAGTACGGGTGCTGTTGTAGGCCAGCAGCCATTTGGTGGCAGCCGAGCGAGCGGGACCAATGACAAGGCCGGCAGCATCAACCTCCTGAGTCGGTTTGTTAGCATGAGAAGCATCAAGGAGGAGTTTAACTCGACGACCACGGTGACATATCCCAGCAATGAGGTCGAGTAGGGCCTTACTGAGATTATGGAGAGCAGCGTATACTCGGACGACAGTTGGGAGAATTTCTCCCGGAGGACTCGCTCGGAGGAGTTTTGATGCATCAAGCCGGCATCGGCGAATTCGTTCATATAGGTGCGGTTCGACGGAGTTGTGTACGAGCAGCGTTGAGACGGGTGCCATGTTATTGGTTGAGGTGTCTAGCGAATCAATTCACTACCCGATGTTGAAGTTGCATTGTGTTGCTGGCTTTATATGGCACAGGTGCTTCACCACTTGCCCCTGTTGCCTCTTTCTCCTGGTGCTGTGAGTTCGAGAGAGTTACGGACGGCCCGTCGTTCTGCCCCGTGTTGAAGATCGTCCTGACTGTCAAAGACCACGTGCGGGCTGCCTTAAAAGAGCTTGGGTAGTGGCGGGGGCTGTGGAAAGGGTCGGGGACCTTGACGATCACTGACGATGTACAGAAGACACCATTTGGCCAAAGGTGGTTGTGGGAGTAGAGCATAATAACAAAGACTTGGCAGGTATCCATACTTCCTGTAGCCGGCGTCAGACAAAGGTCCAGAGCCAGAGGGACAACCTTGTACGGCATTGCTTACAGGCGTTCTTTTGACACCTTGTCGAGACACTAAGAAGCACGCTGTCCAATCAGCATCAAGGAATCCACCTCGTGCCGACTGGAAAGGAGCTGGCACGCGACTGCTTCGGGACTTGGGAATGCACTTCAGAGATGGAGACACTAGCATAGTGTTCCATGGGACTGCACGTTACGATTACCGACTTCCTACGTCCGTCTCCCCGCCCTCTGCTGAACCGCCAATCCCTTGGCCCATTTCTCTGATATGGATCATAGATTAGAACGAGCAAGCGCAATGTCCATATATTGCCCGTGATGGCATACCCAGATTCTGGATCCCATGCTGGGACATCTGTGCCTCTCGACAACACCTGAGCGAACTCACCACAAAATCGTGGAACTCGAATCTGCTTCTTTTTTTTGCTACCAGTGCAAGGTGATACTCGAAGATCGTTTGATCGTCCACTCTTGACCAGACACAGCCAGAAGCACAGTGAAAACCACCAATTGAAGGATTTCCGCCATCTTCAAACCCAAATCTTATACAGAACCGGCAACGTCAGTCGTGCCTGACAGTTACCTATTTCGTCTAAGCAACAGGCTGTTCTGAGCTCCTCCGGCTCGACTTGGACGTGACTCTGAAGCTCAGGGTTCTACGCACCTACCGAGCGCTTTCATACACACCCACTCATTCACTACCAAGTTCGCCTCTACCGACCTGTTCGCCGGGTGGCCTTAGGTCATTGCAATAAGGTAGAACGACAAGCCAATCACGATGCCTCAGAGGTCGTTGCCTACGCCAGTATCATCAGCGGATATGAAAGCCCAGGAACCTCCACCCCTAGCCTCCCTTCAGATGCTGTTCGAACTACCACCACCTGCCATTATGCCATCCAACGCTGCAGGCACACCTCCACAGACTCCGGAGAAAAGATATCCGATGCAACCAAGCGAGACAGTCAAGTCACGAAGGCGTGCAGCAACCGTCACAGGCCCATCCAGGAACGATTTTGCACTCCCTCCCCCTCCTACGAGGTCACGCAAAATCATCCAGATGAAGCCGCGTGAAGTTGCTGTTGCTCCACGACCTGCACCAACCTCCAAAGATTCGACCACTGGCAAATCGGGCTCGGATCTTGTGTCCACCACAACGAAACCAGTGTCGACCACACCACCAGCGACAACAGGAGGCGCCACAAAGAAACAATCGACTGCGGCAGGAAGGAAGATAGCGAGAAAAACAGCACATAGCTTGATCGAGAGGAGAAGGAGATCCAAGATGAACGAAGAGTTCGCCCTGCTCAAAAGCATGATACCGGCATGCACCGGCGAGATGCATAAGCTGGCTATCCTTCAGGTTAGTATTATATTCCAGAGATTGTATACTTGGAATCGAAGCTGATCAAGTACCTTAGGCCTCAATAGAGTATATCAGATACTTGGAAGATTGTGTCGCTAAGCTCCAGGCCCGGCATCAATCCGGTCCATCAGAGGAAGAAAGTGGGATAAAGAGTCTTCCAACACCCTCTGGTCATGAACCTTTCCATCCTGAGGCTGTCTTTGCCTTTGCGGCAAGACAAGAAGTTCATTTAGAGGGCGACGTAGAGATGTCGGACTCGTCTGGGGTTGATTCACCGGCCTCTTCGCCTCCACTTGCCGCGATCACCTCTTCCCACCAGCCATCCGCATCCCCGGGAATACCACCCCAGCAGCCGCTAAGGGATCGACATGATTCGATCTCGTTAGCTTTGACATCGACCGATTACCAAAGACACTACAGCTTCAGTGGCTCATCTGTTATTGCCTCGCCTGCCGGCTTTGGCTCCGAGGGGCATTTATATGGCGGCAACAGCAACATGCACGACACGCGAGCCGCCTCGGTTTCGGGCCTAACACTGACCAGCCCTTACCTGGTATCGCGAAATGACCTTGACCATGAAGCAACGGCTGCTCTTCTCATGTTGAACCAACAGACGCAACCGGATAGGCGGATGTCAACAACGAATATCGACAGGCCCGCTGAAGCCGCGGCCACAGCCTCTGGAACCGTGAGAACAGGGCGGGGAATGAGTGTCAGAGACTTGTTAAGCGCATGAGGGACCCGGAAGGAGATCGTTCGATGGCGCCTCCACGTTGGGCTGAATAAGATCATCTACCCTTGGGGTCTGTCTGTCGGCTTAGACTCGGGGCTCGGCTTCGCAATTCGAGCGGTTTACACTACATACATGCCGGATCCACGGCCACTAGTACCGGCAAGCAACCGAGCGATCACAGGACCGGAATATGCAGGGTCTTGGGGTCCGCCAGGGATAAGGATGCCCATGGGAAGGGTGAAGAATGGCGGCCTGTTGGTGCTTTGGAAGTCCTCGGAGAATTTCGGCACCCTCTTCCATGTTAAAAAGTTTCAAATCGCAGCATCGCTCCATAGATCGAGTCGTGAGTGACTGGGATGCGTATGTTATTCTGGGCTGAGGATGCACAAATGAATAATGCCTCAACCGAGGGCTCTGGTCGTCACAGAATGGTTCGAGATGAATCGGTGATACAGGCTTACCTATGCGAGAAAACGCTCTTCGAGACCGGTAAGGAAAAGGCCACCGGGGGGAGCATGGCAATGGATAGACGAAAGACAGACGTTTTAAATTTATCTGATAGATTTTCAAGTGCCAATAGTAACATCTCGAAGATAACTTACCATTTGTGAAGATAATGGAACCAGTTGGAGGGTAGTTTGACGGTAGATGTTTCATCTTGATACCAGTTGCGCAGAGGTCCCATTGATTGTGTTGCGCTTTGACCCCTGGAAGCGAACGTCGACGACACCGAGCGCCCGGATGATGCTTAACACCCAAGGTTTGAGACGGGCGCGTCTAGGCGCACAACAGTTCATTCCATCCCGGAATGGCTTCATGAGGCCTACATTGCTACCGAACGCGCTGTTTGATTCTCTAGACGAAGAAGTTGCGTATGTGACAATGGAAAAGCCGGAGTTTCACACTCGTCAGTCGTACGAGAAACCAACGGTTCGCCTCCAGCTTCAAGCATCACCCACGGACCCCAATGCCCCTGTATCGCCCTATGTTCCACAAGATATCGGGGCCAGGGGCACGTGATATCCCTGATATCGAACAACAACATACCGAAATGGTCCTTGGCGATGGCCGGACAAGGCCGGTGGTAACACTCAGCAGGATGGACAAGACCGAGTCGATCTCCCGGTGTCCCGGGGAATCCCAAGGAGGAGCCACCGACTCTCTCCGCCTCCCGGATCAATTTGCTTATATATACTGTCTTCCACTCGCCCAATGTAGCCTTTCATGTCCTTTACCAGTCAACAACAACTTCCACCAAAGCCCTTTAAACCAGCTTCTCTTTCACAGCCTCGAATCGGCGTGGATTATCTTCATCAAAGACGACCACCGCCCACTCTCTACCACAAACAGTCCGTAAGACCGCCTCCTTACCCTCCTCTCCCGGTATCGCCACGGCAGTCCACCAAACTTTCACTACCGCCACCACTTGTACCCTCCCGTCCACATCCCCGGACCGTCTTTACCTCGAGCAAGCCTCAGCCGCTTCGTCTCGTTCAGGAGTCACTCAACTCGCGCAAGCGCAAACCACCTGTCTTTTACGCCCAGCACACACGGACTCTGGTTCAGTCCGTGACTTACATTACTATCCACCAGGACTCTTCTTCTTCTTTTTCTCCGACTGCTCCTTCCTACTCGCCAACCGCGACAACAACAACCTTCAAGATGTCCAACGCCAACCCTACCATGCCTAAGGTCTCTAACCTCCCCCCTGTCCCTGCCGGAGCCCGCTCAGGCTATCTCTCCCCAACGAAGGAAGAAATGCTCGCTGACCTTCGACACCAGGTAAATACTTGAACTCCCTCAGTCCCTTGTTTTCGTGTTTAGTTTTTCTTTTTATCCTTTTTTATGGATTTAGTAGTAAGACAAAAACCAAAACAAAGGGAGAGAAGATCTGACTTGGAACCAAATAGCTCGACGACAACAACACTGACGGCTCCTCCGTCGACTCCCGCGGCCGTCGCCGCCGCAGAAACAAGGGCGCCCTCCAGAAGCAGGGCGGTCTTGCCGGCCCTCAGACCCTTCCCCGTCTGGCCGACACCAAGCCCGTCCGTCTGCAGCTTGGCTTGAACCTTGATGTCGAGCTCGAGCTGAAGGCCAGACTGCAGGGCGATGTCTCGCTTACTCTTCTGTAAGTCTTTTCTTTCCTCTACCCAACTAACTATATATCTCACTTCCTACCGGACGGTGGGGCTAATCCCATCTTTTTATTTATCCAGTCAATAAATGTTTATCTCTTCGCCCCCCCAATCCCTAATCCCTAAACACCCCGTTTCTTTTCTCTCTCCCTCTCTTGTTCATGACCATCCCACCATCTCTCTCTCTCTCCCTCTGCCATAAGCCCATGAACCCAACCACACCACACCTATATCTCAAAGATTCCAAAGTCCAACAACAAGCAAAAACAAAAAAAACAGAGTCGAAAACAAGACACCGCAGAAACGACCCCCATCTTCCACCCAACTTCACCTCAACTCCTCCACCCACTCCGTCACCGTCGACGAACTCTTCCATCTCCGACTTGGCACGCTCCGCCTGCATCAGCGCTGGCTCGACCGCGATGTCAGCCCTAGCCTGACGGCCGCCGTTGCGGTCTTGATTGGGATGGCTGGGTTTTTGTGTGGGGTGCTGGCTTCTTCTAGCTGTTGTTGCCCATGGCCATGGTCTTGGTCTTGGTCTTGGATATGGGTGCAACTGGTTTGGGATGTAATGATGATCAACACCATCTCCACGATGGTTCCTTCTTGGATGACGGGGATGGCAACTACGATGACAACGACAATGATGGAAATGGGCTCGGTGGCGATGGCAGCAGCAGCAACAACAACAACATCAACAACGTCCTGGTCATATTTTCATGTTTTGCTTCAGCAGGGTTTGACATCGGCGTCTTTCGAATGGGTCGGCGTTAACATCATTGGGGTTGGGGTCATGGGATGAGTTCTGGGTTCAATCACCTTCATACCATCCAACCATTCTCTGGTCTGGTCTGGTCTGGTCGAGGAAAATGGAAGAGAAAACAAAACAGAGGGGGGCTGGGGGAAGGCAAATGCAAGGGTTTGTAATGATACAACAGATTGGGACATTCACATAGGAATGGATATGGGAATAGGAACAAGAAGCACAAGACGGAGAGGAGAGCAAGGAGAATAGTACTTGGCCCTTCCCCTCCTAACTGTGTCATTCTTGGCTTGTCTTTTCCTAGGGGGATTGAGGGGGTTTCCGTGAGTTGTACGATACATGTGGGAAGGGGATAGAACAGAATGCATTGTCTCTTCTTTTTTTCATCACCATCATCATTATTTTCAGCTCTGTGATACTACCCGTCAGTCTTTTCTTTCGAACTTGGTCTGGAATCAAGTGTCATATCTGTTTCTCTTTTTGTCCCTGTACTGGTCCTAGTACGATGTGGTATGGCTCCCTCGGGCTCCTTGGACGGTGTAGCGTGACAAGATTGTAGGGGCTGATATAGGCAATCGAAATGATGTTTTGGTTCCACTTGCCTGTTGTTAATCTGGTTGAGTCGATTCTGGCGATCAGGTGAGCTTGAGATTCGGGACATGATCTATTATGGGACATGGCGTGCGATGAACATGTTGGCGTACCACAAGACAAAAAGCCATGGGTTTTGACGACCGGAAATTGACGTATGAATGTGAGCCACAAGGGAAAAAAAAAAAAAAAAAAAAAAAAAAAAAGTAAGAAAACCGAGAAAGAGGAAGAAAGCAACGACAGATAAAAGCCGTTGGTAGATAGATGGATGAACGAAAAAGGTAAAAAGAAAGAAAAAATCTGGTCTCTCCCGCCGGGAATTGAACCCGGGTCTCGAGCGAATCGAACTGATGTTCAAGCTTGACAAGCTCACATACTGACCACTATACTACGGAAGATGTACAACTGTTACTCAGCTGTCGTAGTTGATTGCTGGGGGGATGTTGCAAAGTCAGTACTCATATAGTCAATTCCACTGGCCATGCTACAATACCAAATCCGGCCAAGACATACTGTCGAGCGGGTAAAAACAAACCTAACATGGACATTGCACGGTCAAATACCACTCGCTTCAGTTAAGGAAGGTCATCGGAAAGCTGTAATTTTTGGGATCGAATTGATACAGAAACACCTCGGCCAAGATTCGTTAGAGAAATTTCCATCCAGAACTGCATAAAGGTTGGGTCCAAAGATTTGACAAAGACGCTTAGAGGCCTAGCTGATAGAGTATCCCCAAGGTGTGAACTATCGACCGTGAGGTGTTGAGCCTATCCTTACAATCCTCGGGGTCATTTGGAATGGGAAAAGCTGGTCACGCTAATGAATATGGATGATGGCAAGGTTTACCGCTTTATTGGGTATTATGATATACATGGGTATTTTAAACGTAAAAAATGATTGCGAACATTGGGATAGGATGTGTACCGTCGGTCTTGACTGCCACGCACTCATCCAACGCGCAGGCTACTAGAGGCTTGCACCGATGAATGACGAACAGTGACACTGATCGCACACATCCATCCCATCGATTACCATTAAACATTTCCCAGCCACTGCCCCAGCGTAAAGGGAGTGAATGAACGCGAAAACCTCATTCATTCATCCGTCCTCCTCACGTCACCTCTCACCTATCACCTCACCCCCGCCGGGATCTCCGGCACCTCTGGCACATCCGACCCTCCCGTACCACCCGTGCCTCTCGACCCACTACTCCCTGCGCTGCCCGGCGGCGGCGCAATCGTTGGCGGTCTCGGGCCCTTGTAGCTCAGCGTCGGAATCGTCAATCCGTAACCCTGCGTACGTCCCTCCGGGTTATGCTGGTCGATCTCGATGCGGATGCACACATCTAGACTACCGTCGCTTCCCGTGCCATGCTCGGCAGGGTCGGCGGCCTTGTGCTTGGTGCCGGCGTTGACCTCGCCCTTGCCGAGCGCGTAGCGGCCGTCTTTGTGGCCGGGGAAGGTTTCGCCGGGGGTGGATTGTGGGGGAGGAGAGGAAGTGTGGAAGTCATGACCATTTTGTAGATGAGTCCCGTTGTTGGGCGAGTTCTCGGTGATGACGGCAAAGTTGCGGCTGGGCATGGTGACCTGGTTGTGCTTGGCTGTCTTGGTGCTGTCGCCGGGGTCTTTGTCGAAGATCTTCAGGAGCGTCTCATCGGTGTCGTGGTCGAGGTGGTGGATTCTGTTTCGGCGCGCCAGCAGGTTGGCAACGGCCGCTGGGGGCGGCTTGTTCACGATGGCGGAGGAAATGACGTTGACAATGTAGCGGTAGTCTTCTTCCAGCGGAATGTTGAGCTTGGGGTTCGAGTAGAACCTTCCTAGCGCTGCCAGATGCACGTCGCCGCCTATGATGGTAACGCGCACCGAGAACTCGGCGGCGATCTGTTGCAGTTTCAGGATCAGACCGTTGCGTTCGCGCTTGTGGGTTCTGGCTGTATAATGATCGTCGAGATCGTCTAGCAGATCAACACTTCCATCAAAGGAGTTGAAGAAGCTGCCACCAAAGCCCACGCGCCTGTTCAGCAGCTTTACTGGACCCATCAAGGGGCTGGCGAAAATGTTCTCAAGCCATGTCAAGCGCTTGTTATATGTTAGCCTCAGCTTGTAAATGTATGAGTTAGTTGCCACTCACAGGGTATGCAATGGGAATCCCCAAAAGAAGAATCAAGTGCTTAAACGGCTCTCCGGTTTGTATGGCATGGCTAAGCTCCTGCCTCAAGCGGGAGAAGATGGCCTCATATGTCTCAGGGTAGTTGACTTGATGTCTCGTGCGCTATGAGGTGTTAGCATTTGAAAAGTGACTTCCTGCGTCTTCTCGACGGGTCACTCACTTCTGTTCGAGCGTCGATACCCAAAAATGCTATTCGGGCGCCCAACTTTGTAAACATATTGTGTGAATGTTCCGCAACGTAAGGCTACATAAATGTCAGTAATCAAGCCGATTGGCTGGCCTAGCACCGGATAAAGAAACCTACACCGGGAGAGGATCCAACAATGTAGTTAGGTTCTGTCATGGCTGGGTGTACGTAAGCCGCAATCATTTGATTGGGGTCAAGCCCCTGACCCGCTTCATCCTGAGCTTCGGACGTGGTGTCCGAGGTATAGGTCGAAGCTGGAGGTGGCAGATGGTGCTGGAAAAGCATGTAGTACTTGTGGGCAATGCCGCCAATTCCTCGGAAGACATCGCATTTCATAAAGTCGTCCACATAAGATCCAAAGCCATCGATAATCTGGATCGTGTTAGTGTTTCCACATATACGGTGCAAGAAAAAGTGGCGAATGGGTCATACATCATGATCATCCCAAATGTTTAGCTGAGGGATCTGACCGTTCGCAGCTGCAAATGGCTCCGTCCCATACCACCGAATATAGTTGTTCAAATAGTAGTTGTCGCACTCGGCGCGGAGACTTTCGGGGAATGGAAAGTTTCTCCGTTTCTTGGGGCTGCTGATGCTGGTCCATGTGCGAAGAGGCCCTGAGACTCGAACGCCGTCGTTATAGATCTGGTCGCCGCCACCGATCCTGTAGTCTGTTAGCAGTCGACAGACTCAAGAGAATCCTCAGCTTCTTACATCACATGGAACGGTGCCTCTTGATGGCGTCTCATAACGTCGTTCCACAAACACGCGCCGCTCCAGTCCTCCTCATCTGTACCGACGCTGAACCCGTTGCAGGAGTGGAACATGATTCTCATCGATTCCGTGATCGCGGGCACGAAGAAGGCATTCACTTTTGGCTTTGTGTTGCTAGCAAAGACAAGGTAATCCGACAGCCAATATTCCCACTTGGTTTCATAGGGTTCCATCTCCAGGTGCAAATCGAACCTCCAGAAAGTGTTGCGCCAGTCCGAATAAAGACAGATACCTTGACTTTCACTGACTCTGGATTCACTGCTGTGACCATTGGCGGCGCCATTGCCATTGCGCATACTGATCATAGCAGCCTTTCTTAAGAACAAGCTTGGCCTATAGGACTGTTCTCTGCCGCCCCCGCGGGTCACAACCAGGACACTGCCAACCCATTGATTTCCCTCCATGCGGCGATAGTTGATCAAAGGTCCCACCGCGACCTCCTTGTCGTTGGGTACACTCTCCGGAGCCAATGCGTCGGCCACGTGTTTTTCGCCATTGAGAACCTCCCTCGCTTCTGTAGCGCCCAGCACCACAGGCTTGAACTTTGGTTCGGTAGGAGGGCGAGTGTCAGCCTCCTTGGGGGAGATACGCGACTTGTTGAGGAAATCGGCCAGGTCGTTCACATTGCCGCGTGCGTCTGCTTCCCGCGCTATTGAGGGGTGATGGTGGTGGCGGGATGGTGCCTGGGGCTGGGCTCTCTCGGCCTCGTACTTGGCGAAGGCTCGCGACTCTTGATGACGCCATTGGGAGCTGGAGGCATGAGGATTGCGGTCCTGGGCATTTTGGTCGCCGTGCGCATAGCCCTGCGCTTCGTGGGAGTCCATATCGAACAGGCAGACAGGCGTTATCACGACGTTTTCAGTCGCAAATGCAAGTAGCGGTTAAGTAGTTAACGTAGAAACATGTAAGCTTTCGCGACCTGGGGTCCCCAATTACAAAACAGGGAAGTCCAAGCTCCAAGTTCGAAGTACCAGCAACGCTTCGGTAAGCGGTCGCAAGGGCTCAGCTTGTTAGGTTCGTAGGCTCAGGCGCCGGCGGGGTCTTGAAGCTGGTCTCTAGCCGACAAGAGACTTGGATGGCCTGTTGGGTGGTGAAGGGAGTAAAAGTGGGCAAAAGAAAGGAAAGAGAAGTAGAAATCGAAATTACAAAGGACGAGGGAGGAGACCTTCAATCCAACGAAATTGATGCCATGGGAACAGGGGGGTCGTGCACAACTCACTTGCTCGGCGACGGTGTCGCGGATACTCAGCTATACTCAGCCACCAAGCTTTGTCTAAGAGATTGCCGATTCTGGGAGGGACACCTTACTTGTTTCGGGGCCAAGACTTCAGTTCCTTGTCTTGATGTCGTGTTTTTGAGGCCGGTTCAGCAAGGAAAAGAATCTCCCAACTAGGGAGGAGGGGGGAACGCGGAAGAAGAAGGGATGTCATGGCAACTTGACTCCTGTACCACTTGAAAATACAAGTTGGATAAAGTAAGCTTGGTACACAAGCCCATACACACATGGAACACAGCAACGTTGACCTAGTAGGTACGGCATGAAGACGCCGACTGGGGTGCCCATTACCCAATTGGTTTGTCTCTTGTTAGTTCTGGGCATCGTGGAGATAAAATGCGGTGAAATAAGAAGGCCAGTCATCCATGTGTAGTGTAGATGAGCAAGATGGCGAGTTAAAAACTCGGCGTCCTTGTC